CTCTCTGTCTCTCATTTGTGAAGCAATATATAGGATCTTCCCATCAACATGAACATGGAATCTCTAGATGAATTTGATTTCACTGAATGCTCGTTCATTAATTGTTGAAAGTATTTCCTGATATTTTCACAAACATTAGGGTTCTAAAGCTTGTTCAGTTAGGGTGAGATTTTTAGGCGATTGAATGTTCTTCAAAACTGTTAGGAGTTATAAAACTGTAATATATCACATATATAGTCCTTGGGATCAAAATCAATAATACTTTGATGCTTAAATCGCAGCAGACACCTAGCTAGGAATTGTGAACAATAATTTAAAGTGATGCAACTTGCTTATTGAAGTCTTGTCATGTTCCACAATGCTTTGTAAGATATTTGGGTCCCAAGTCCTTTCATGTAGTACATTGGTTTTTGTCTTCTTGCATGCATGAATCGAATCAGATTCCTTCAATAATTGTTGGCATGTCTTAGTAGAAGTAGTACCAAAGGCTACCACTCCTCTATATAAATAGATGTAGAGCAAAGCCCCTCCTTAGCAATTCATTTCTATCTTACTCCTTTGTTCGACGGGTCAGATTATTTTCCTCTCTTTTTTTTTTTTTTTCAAAACACTCATTTTAATTATTTTTTTAGTGTGACCGATCTAAAATACTTTCACTATTTCTTCTGTAAACCAAAACACTCTCTTTTTCGAATTGTTACGTATATTCGATTAGTTTGTAATTTTATTATATATGTAATAGTCAGATCCAACTCTCTCTCAGTTTTTCAGTTTTGAGTCTCCATGGATGATGTTTTTTTATTTTTATTTTAAATGTTTTTTTCAAAGCCAAATATGCTTTACTTCACATAAATTGTAGGATCGGCCCTGGTAATAGTGATTTTTCTTTTACAGTTCTCATGTTTTGATTTGTCAGGTACTTCATTCAAATAACGTAAGCAAGAATCTCTTATCACCAATGGTCTCACAAGGACAATCCTCCAACACTGCATACTCCAACTCACTCACGGGTAAAAATAATTTCTTTCTATTTTCTCATTTTACATGATTTTGTATAATATAAAAATATAGTAATTGTGACTTAATTTTGGAAATTTATGACAAATGAGGAGGTTGTGCTCTTTTGGGATATCAATACGTGTCCCCCTGTGAATCGTACTATGCTCACTAATATAGTTGAAAATATTAATTTTATTCTAGGGGATACATGCGAGATTCTCCGACCGCCCAACATACCGTGTCTCGGATACTACGAGAATCATATGTGGAGATGTCAAAAACCTCTTGAGTGACCAGAATAAATTACACTTGAAAAACATCATATCTGCTTGCAATAACTGATCAAATCCAATATGTTCTTCAAGTGTAATTTATTCTGGTCACTCAAGAGGTTTTTGACATCTCCACATATGATTCTCGTAGTATCCGAGACACGGTATGTTGGGCGGTCGGAGAATCTCGCATGTATCCCCCAGAACAAAATTAATATTTTCAACTATATTAGTGAGCATAGTACGATTCGCAGGGGGACACGTATTGATATCCCAAAAGAGCGCAACCTCCTCATTTGTCATAAATTTCCAAAATTAAGTTACAATTACCATATTTTTATATTATACAAAATCATGTAAAATGAGGAAATAGAAAGAAATTAGTTTTACCTGTGAGTTGGAGGATGCAGTGTTGGAGGATTGTCCTTGTGAGGCCATTGATGATAAGAGATTCTTGCTTACGTTATTTAAATGAAGTGCCTGACAAATCAAAACATGAGAACTATAAAAAAAATTCACTATTACTAAAGCCGTTTCTACAATTTATGTGGCCTAAGGCAAGGTCCTACAATTTATGTGCTGGATTACTTACTCCAAGGTCCTCATATTAACGCAAGGAATAATATCCGGTGATTTTCGATTCCAACACATTATGAAAAGATTACGTATTGGGACTAGAGGCTATATCACCTTTTCAGCCAAACGCCTAGACTCTTTTCCGCTAATTTTGGAGCACTCAGTATATGCATGGGATTGGACAAAGAGGTCTGCTCAAACATGATCTTGATTGCTAGGCTCCCCACCTCGGGCAAATATTATCTCCTATTTTATGTATTTCTTTCATGCGTTTATATATGTATTTTAATTTCATGTAATATTATGTATCTTTTACTACATGCATTTTCATATTTGCTATTATGTGTTGAATAGGTGGAAGCTATTTTATAGAAACGATGATCAAAATTATAATGAGTTGGAACCAAACCATTCAAATTTAAATTCTGGAACCAAACCATTCAAATTCTTTCCACCATCACCAATGATTGAATTTGCTCAGAAACGGAGGATTACTCTCTATTCAAATTGAGTTTTAAGCAGAAAGAGATAAAAAGAGAATTGAGAGCACTAAATTCAAACAATTTTTCAGAAATCCAGAAAAGAGTGTGTGAGGCTAACAGTTTGCTAAAGCATGTGCAGGTACTTTGTTTACAACAACCATCAGTCTCAAACTTTCAACAGGAAAAACAATGTCAAGAGAAATTAGAGAAGTTGAAATCAATTGAGGAAGCCTTTTTCAAGCAAAAATCAAGAATCAATTGGTTATTAACATGGGATCAAAACACCAGCTTCTTCCACAGAGTGACTCAAGCTAGAACAGCTTACAATGCAATACATACCCTGCTTGGCTTGGATGGAGTTGTAGCATCTACACCAGAGGATATTGGCCGACTTGCTTTATCTCACTTCGGTAGCATCTTGTGCCCTTACATCTCTCCTGCGAGTCTATCCAATCTCCAAGCTGTGGCAACTATCATTTCTTATTCTTGCTCAGCCCATGAATGGCAATCCTTGTCAAGCATCCCATCTGCATAGGAAATATGTAGAACGATGTTTAAACTGAATCCTAACAAGAGTCCTGGTCCAGATGGCTTAATTAACCTCAGGGTTCTATAAGGCAGCTTGGGGTATACTAGGGAATGAAGTTGCTGGATCTATCCAAAAAAATTTCGCTTCTCCAGAGATGCCAACATCTATCAACTCGACCATCCTCACGCTAGTTCCAAAGTTCTCTGGTGCCACCTCGATTAACGATTGTAGACCAATATCTTGTTGTAACACTATTTACAAGACTATTTCGAAACTTTTAGTTGCAAGGATCAAGCCTCTACTTCCTAAGATCATTCTTCCTTATCAAACTGCCTTTATCAAGGGACGTGTTTTACTTGAAAACTGTCTGCTTGCTGCCGAGATTGTTAATGGATATCATACCAATAAAGGGCTTTAAAGACTCACCATAAAGGTTGATATCGCAAAAGCTTTTGATACTCTCAGGTGGGACTTTGTTCTTCAATTCCTAACTGCACTTAACCTGCTAGCCAAGTTTATACAAGGGGTTAGAGAATGCATCACCACTCCAACCTGCTGGTATGTAAAGAATCATTTCTATACCCTATACGATCTACACTTTAAACACATTTACTCACAGTTTTTTTCTTCTTTTCTTTTTGAAGTGAATCATGCTAATTTCGTTTATCTTTGGTGGGACTTTGAAAATATCGTGATTGAAAATAGCCAAGTTGTCAGTTTAGTTATGCGCATAGAGGCTTGTCTTTGTTGAATAGACCATTCTCTAAGATTATCTAAGACAATGTATGGCATGGAAAATATGGGTTTACGCTGAAGAACGCTCGTAAGCTTGAGATTATGGGTTTCCTTTTGAAGGATACACCGAGGCATTCACTTACATGCCCCAAGTGTAAGGAGATAAACCCATCTGTTAGACCATTTCAGACTTTATCTTACATCACAAAACCTTATGAGTGTGTGAAGGAGATTGTTGATTGCATGATTGTACAAGCTCTCATAGAACATGTATGTGTGGATACTGGATCCAAGAATGTTGCGCTTCTTTCGGGTGATGGGAACTTTTCTCTACCGTTAAATTCTCTTAGAAGACAGGGTACAAAGTTTTTCTATTCCACAAAAAAAGATTCAAAGGAGGAGCTCGAAGTTAGTGCATTTTACATGGGTGTTGCTGAGGATCTTCCAAAATAATATTGATTATACACGCATAATTTACAGATCTCGGTAATTTCGTGCATCTTAGCTAGTTTTTAGGTTTTGTCTTCTAAGATTTTATTATGTGATTTCCAGTAGTCGTTTTTTGTTAATCAAGGATCAAGTTTCTGATATATATAATCAGATTTACACTACTTGTCTATTGTGGTCTGTTGCATGATTTACATGGTTCTCAAGTCTACATTAACGACATGTTCTTAATCGGTTAACATATGCTTCAACTTTGTTATGGAAATGAGAAGAACTCAATGTTGTGAATTGTGAATTGTGATACCAAATAGACTCTCTAAGCAAGGAGGAACTAGACGAACATGATCGGCCCTCATTGGTTATGTTATTTGTTTATTTAGGCCCTCATTGTTTTATTTTTATTGCAAATTAACCCCATACTTTTGAAAATTAAGACAAGTAAGACTATACTAAATCGGAACTTATAGGAATTAATTAAGGGATTTTGGTCTAATGTGCCATATACTGTAGCAAAACTTATAGAAATTGCCACAAAACATTTGTCTTTCCAAATGTGCCATAATGGTGGACAAGACTTTGAACCGAAAATTTTTGGTAGACAAGAAATGTTGTCCACCTTTGAAACAACAGATTGGGAAGATATTTGGTGGACAAAAAATCTTGTCTACCTTTGAAACAACAGACTTTTGGTGGACAATAATTCGAAACGACATACAAAAATTTGTGTAGACAAGAAATGTTGTCCATCATTATGGCACATTTGGAAAGATTTATGTTTTGTGCCATTTTTGCTAAGTTTTTAAACAGTAAGTGGCACATTAGTTAGATTTCTCATTAATTAAGGGGTTAACTCAGATATACAAAATATTTGTGGGGTTAAAATGAAAAGATCCAAATTTTTAGTTTCGGAGAAAGAAAAAAAGAGTTTTTTGGCCAGAGAACAATTTTCCCATTTCCACTACTTGGAAATCGAAATCCAGTTTTCGAATTTGGTTAGCGATTTTGAAATTCCAAACGTAAGAATTATGGCGGGAGCGAATCAGGCGTGTATCTTCTGTGAGATCGTGCGAAATCCGACCACCACTCGTCTCCTTCACACCGTTACCTTCTCCTTCCCTTCTCTTGTTGTTTGGATCATCATCAGAGGCTAAATTGAAGAAGTTCTCTTACGTTTCTCTGCGATTATCTTTTTTTCAGGATGAGAAAGTCATCGCCTTTCAAGATATCAAACCTGCCGCCCAGAGGTTCGTGTCTCTGTTCACTCACTTTGATTCCGTTTACTTAAGCTTGTCCATTGTAATCAATTTTCATCTGCTTGCTTAATTAGCTACCATTTACTAGTATTTAAGAACAAAGCACTGATGATGTAGGCACTATCTGGTGATTCCAAAAGAACACATTCCTACTGTGAATGACCTTCAGAGAAGAGATGAAGACTATTCACTAGGTTGGTTAGCTAAACATATTTTATACATCGTTTTCTGTTGTACATGTGTGAAGTTTCGATAAGGATGTTTGTTTTATGATTTGAGCAGTAAGACACATGCTTAATGTGGGACAAGAACTGTTGCAGAAAGATGCTCCTCAAAACATTCATAGGTGAGGTTTCTTGCTTACAAACACTAAATGAAGCCAATTATGAATTAACCTGATCTGTACTTTCTTACAGATTTGGTTTTCACCAGCCACCATTTAACAGTGTTGATCATCTACATCTCCACTGTTTTGCATTGCCTTATGTGCCCAGGTACAGATATGTTTCATAGTCATTGATCTTTCTTGGGAAATTCTTTGCATCTCTCTTACTTTCCCATGATTTAAAACTGCGAATAAGTTTTCTTAACATATACTGTATAACAGATGGAAAGCCATCAAGTACAAGTCTTTGGGGCCTTTGGGTGGATTTATTGAAGCAGAGACACTGCTGGAGAAGATAAGGCCTCTTCTTTCAAAGGTGTAACTCAACCAACTTACGTAACTGCATTGCGTTGCTTCTCTATGCTAAAACTGTGCAATATCTCTTTTCTATTCTTTTGCTGGCAAATCTGTTATCAAATGCCAAATATTATTGGGGATTTTGTATATGAAAGAAGGATGTGTCAAGTAATTTATATGTAAGTTCTGCCACTGTCTAATAGTTGTAGGCATTGACGCCAATCTCATACTTAACGGGTATGAGACGTATACATGAAGAATTCTGATATAATCTCTGGAGTAACTGCCATAAGATGTAGACTTAATCAGAGACTTAATTCCATATAGGATCTCTGGTATATGTGGGCTTACTTGTGTTGCTTTGATGCTCTGACATCTCTAAATGTAGGAGAGGTACTGGTTGCACTGAATGAGATCATCATCATCATACTCCAGCTTAACTGGCGCAGATGTTTTCTTGCGACATCATAGTTATTTACAGAACAGGTAAACACGTCTTGAATGAACTTGTACGTTAGTAGTGACCTTTCTTTGTTGTGATCTTGTGAGGTGGAAGCAGTATAGGTCATGCTAACAAATTTTAGGAGGTATTAAGCACTGTGATAGGGGAACAGTAGAGAGCGAAAACCTCGTAGAACTTAAGTTTCAGACTATCGCCTATACTCGGGGTTCAGATTACTCGTTTTCCCCTTGTAGGGGGATCCTTAGGTATCAATAGCGTGGAAGACTTTTGGCATTATCATAACTAAAAACCTGAGCTTATCTAAGTACTAGATGACACTGAGACCAAATCTTCTCTGTTCACACTTCACATGCAACTTGTGCAGTTAGATAGAAGTACAGCTTGCAGTTGCTCTGCCTTTAGCTTCTTTGAGTGATATTTTAGATGCTGGACTACAGTTTCTAAGATAGTTTTTTTCTGAGATCAAGTAAAATAATCAAAGATTTGTTATGGTATAACACTCTGGGGACGTTTGACAGGAACCACTAAAGGAAGTCAAGAATATGTGCTAAGAAAACAACAAACAGTCTTAATGGTGTTATGTCCTAAATGAGTAGGAAACTGCAATAATTGAAATTCTTGATTTGCCATTGTCTTGAAGTATTTAGGCCCACAAATTTGTATAAGCTTTTTTTGGATGGATTTACTTGTAATCCTCAACTACCCCTGTCAAATACCAACTCTTTGTTTGGTTCTTGCTCTGTTTTTTAGTTCATAAATTATGTAAACGACATATATACACATCAACAAAGCTTATTTTCCTGATATTATAATTGGGTTGGTCTTGTCCTTATACTTTGTTGTCTTTGAAGAAAGTTGCAGAGTGATCATGCGCTTCAAAAGCAGATAACTTTTTACAAAAGAATATTAATAGGTTTTGTTGATTGGCAATGATTATAGTCATGAAGAGGTTGGTAAGTTCGTCTTCTTGTCTGTTTGGTTATATACAACTCTTAGGTCTCTCAATAAGTTATTATTCCTCCCATGTCTCATTGTTTTGTTACAGTTGTGTGACTTGTGTAAACATTTGCTGATTCCATTACTTTATAGGATCATATTCGCAGATTAACCACTTGGAAGTGTATGCAGTTTATGGAAATAAGTAGACAGTGTATGCAATTAATGGAAATAAGTGGTAATCTCATGTATCGACTAGCTTTTTGACTAAATAAAATCTCTACCTTTGTGTTTATGGAGACACAAGAAAGCTTATATAAAGCTAAAGCTGACCCCTGTGAGGACAACAGCTCTGGTGAAGAAGACAGGCTTGAGCCTTTTCTTCTTGGAGTGACGAACCAAAGTATTGATTTTTTTTCCCATAAAACTACAAAGCTGCAATAAACGTCACTCTCAAGTCTCAAACCTTAGGTTTGCTTTTGCTTCATTGGTTCCTTCTTCTCGTTTTTTGTCTTTTCGAGTACAGCTAATTTAATTTTCCTACATAATTTTTCGAACTCGCCTCTCTGTTAACAGCTGTATCCAAAATTTAGATTTAAATATTTTAGTTTTTTTTAAAGAAAAAAGAATCCATGCTCTCTTTAATTAAGAGCTGACGAATCCTCCATATCCAATACCAATACCAATACCATGGACACGGTTTCGTATCGTTTTTCAAAGTTTCCAATGCTTTTTTAGTAAAATAAGGCAAGTATTTTTGATGTTCCAAATTTTCAATGCCCGAAACTTATCCTATAAATTACTTTTCGTATTTTTTTAAAATAGAAAAAGAAGAAAGTATCGGCTTGTACTGGAGGAGGTTGGTGAATTTTATAAGACCCTTTGTCCTCTAGTGATTCTCTACCTAATCTAGCTTCAATACAACATAGCCACTGACATTTTATATTAATGCTTGTAATTGTTATCTAATCTTTGTGCGATGATTGATTAGTTTAGATTATATGTTCATGAAAATCGGTGTTAATATCAGTATAGGTATTGTAACAAGATATACGTTCTTGGGATAAACAATGCATCCCTTATTCCCTTTTTATCTTTTACAGAATCCATAAAACATTGATATCATAACGTGTAAAGTATATGTATGGAATGATGAAGTTAGGCTGCATGATATAAATAGTTAGTCAAGCTGCGGTCGGCAAATTGGCTAGGTGTTTGGAGAAGAGTGAGGTACACGTACCTTTCTCTCTCTCTTTCTACTCTTTAACCCTGACCATGGCATGGCAATATCCCACCTGGCTTGTCTATGTGGCTTGGACTCTATATTTTCCTAAACTTTTAACAAAATTATTATTTATGGTTTTTAGCTTCTCAAGGCTTTGATATCATCCGAGGGTATGGATTGGATATAAATGTTATAGCCAATTAAAAGGTTGACACTGAATTTTAATTGGTACCTTAATGAGAGAAGAAAATAAAACAAACGTAGGTCTAATAAATGTATGGTTGCATGCGAAACTCCCCATCTCATCAATGAACAATTCAGTTGACTTCTTCCAATCATCAAGAGGAGCCAGACAATAATAAGTTAATACTATTACATTGCAAGTTTCAACATACCACTGCGCTTTAGCAAATGTAATGGTTAGTTTCCTGTCTAAATCTAATTCTTTATGTAGGATTTACTCTGCATGCCACTCTTTGCATCATACCACTTTGTTTTCATTAGAAAACTAATCATATAAATATCTTTCTCAAAAGCATAAAATATAAATATCTAGTTCTGCTGAAATGACAGCCAAAAATAATGTAATTTTTTAATGGAATGAAAATTTTCTCATTAAACCACACATTTTTTATTTATTATTATTGTAAATTGTTTTTGCTCTGTCCTATTAAACACTCGACCTCCTCTGCTTCAAAATTTCAAAACCATTCCTTGGACTCCACTGTTTTATCATCCGCCATGAAAACTTGTTTGATCTTCTTTCTCTACACAACAATTCTCAATTACTGTTTCTACTTCTCTGTTTCATCATCATCATCATCATCATCATCACCTCTTCTCCTCCATCTCTCTCACTCTCTCTCAACTTCAAAACACTCTGCCTCTCCTCTCCACCTTCTCAAATCATCCTCCTCTCGTTCCTCCGCCCGCTTCCGCCACCACCACCACAAACACCAACAACAACTTTCACTCCCTATCTCTTCCGGCAGCGATTACCTCATCTCCCTCTCCGTCGGCTCCTCCTCCTCAGCCGTCTCCCTCTACTTAGACACCGGAAGCGACCTCGTCTGGTTCCCTTGCCGTCCTTTCACTTGCATCCTCTGTGAATCCAAACCACTCCCTCCTTCTCCTCCACCCACTCTCTCCTCCTCTGCCACCACCGTCTCCTGCTCCTCCCCTTCTTGCTCCGCCGCTCACTCTTCCCTTCCCTCCTCAGACCTCTGCGCTATCTCCAACTGTCCTCTTGATTTCATCGAAACCGGTGATTGCAACACTTCTTCTTACCCTTGTCCTCCTTTCTACTACGCTTACGGTGACGGCTCTCTCGTCGCAAAACTCTTCTCCGACTCACTTTCTCTCCCTTCCGTCTCCGTCGCTAACTTCACATTCGGCTGCGCTCACACCACTCTCGCTGAACCTATCGGTGTCGCTGGATTCGGTCGTGGACGTCTCTCTCTTCCCGCTCAGCTCTCTGTTCACTCTCCTCATCTCGGTAACAGCTTCTCTTATTGTCTCGTCTCTCACTCGTTTGACTCAGACCGAGTCCGCCGTCCGAGTCCACTCATACTCGGCCGCTTCGTCGATAAAAAAGAGAAACGTGTCGGAACCACCGATGATGATGATGATGGTGATGAGAAGAAGAAGAAGAATGAGTTCGTCTTCACTGAGTTGCTTGAAAACCCAAAGCATCCTTACTTCTACTCTGTTTCACTTCAAGGAATCTCAATCGGAAAACGGAATATTCCAGCTCCGGCGATGCTAAGACGAATTGACAAAAACGGTGGCGGAGGAGTTGTAGTTGACTCAGGGACGACGTTCACGATGCTTCCGGCGAAATTCTACAACTCGGTGGTTGAAGAATTCGATAGTCGGGTCGGGCGGGTTCACGAACGGGCTGATCGGGTCGAACCGAGTTCCGGTATGAGTCCTTGTTACTATTTAAACCAGACGGTTAAAGTTCCAGCTCTGGTTTTGCATTTTGCCGGGAATGGATCCAGTGTTACGCTCCCTAGGAGAAATTATTTTTATGAATTTATGGACGGTGGAGATGGTAAAGAAGAGAAGAGAAAAGTTGGATGTTTGATGTTGATGAACGGTGGAGATGAATCGGAGCTTCGAGGTGGAACTGGGGCTATTCTGGGGAATTACCAGCAACAAGGGTTTGAGGTGGTCTATGATCTGTTGAACAGAAGAGTTGGATTCGCAAAGAGGAAATGCGCATCTTTATGGGATACGCTTAACCAAGGCTAACATGCGCTGAAGCCAATAAATCTTTGTAATAAGCCTAACATTGCGCTGAAGCCGGTTCGATCGTTAAACCGGATGGGTTATGTCATGTTTCGGGGATGGGTCTTATCGAACAGTAATTATCTAATAGATGTAGCCTTAATAATTTCGATGTAACCATACTCGAAAAGTACATAAAAGGGTTTGCAACGTTGTCAATAGAGGGTTTAGAATTTTCAAATCGATGCCATATAAATTTGTTTTTTTGGTCATAATTAAAAGGGGTTGTTATATTATTTGTTGGTTAAGCATCGCTTTTTAAAATTAATTGGGAGCCAGTTTTAATAAATAGTAGTATTAAATTTAGACCAAATTAAATAAGCTAGCTTTATACGAAGTAGCAATTAGGGGGGACGAACCAAAATTTCTAGTAATCATAAATGATGAGGCGACGAAGAAGTTGATAACAATTTATAAAGTTTTATTTGATTGGCAACCAATACTCAAACTACAAGTGTTTATAGTTTGTTTTGTTTCATAAGATATCACAGTTTTGACTATTGGCATATAATATAGAGAAAATAACGAGTGCCCATCAATTATTTGACGTAGTATAGTATCACTGTTTTGCTTTAGGAGAAGTGGCTTTGACAATCACTTCTTTTTCCTTTCGAAATTGAGATATATTATTGATTAAAATGTCTAAGGTCAAAATAAATTGTTTAGTTATCTAACACGATAAATTAATACAATCAGAAAAATAGTTACAGACAACCAAATTTAAGCAAGCAAATGAGCTACTTCAGCAGAACTGACTCTGACAATCACTTATGAGTTACGATTCTCTCTCAAAATAATCGAGAGGTGAGTATATGTGGCAAAGGTTAAATATGTTAAACTACCTCTAAAATTAAGTATATAGAAAAGTAAATATGTGCCTATATATGAACGGATTTGCAACGTTGTGAATAGAGTTTTTTTTTTTATATATATACTTCCTACTGTTTTTGATAGGTTTGATTTTTTTTTAGTTTTAGTTTTGTTTCACAAATATTGATTTTCTATTTTAATTAAATGGTAAACTTTCAAAACACATTATTACATCACTGATTTCATTAAAATGTATTTTTCTTCTACTTCTAATTTGTTTCAAGAGAGATTGACTCAAAGTCTCGAGAGGCGGAAACAGCGAACACGTGTGCTTCTAGATTGTTCTGCATATTTTCTTAGGGTGAATTGTCTACACGTATGGACCACTAGCTAAGTAGCTAGACCTAAAAAGGAATATGTAAATTGTATCACAAATCCCAAATTAAAAACTTTTTATAATCTAATGTATTGTTACAGTTTAATTCTAACTTTATCCAAAGTGCAAGGAGCGGAAATTTTGTTCATCTTAGTCGAGGTCGAATAAATTGTAGAATATCATAACTTTTTTTCGATAAATTTCTATATGCAGATTAAACGCAAGAAAACATAAATAATCAACTGTTTTTGGTATGTCAGTCGAGATTAATTCTTAATTATGTGTACTCAACTTTGGTATTACTTTAGTACATTCCTCCCAAACCATTTATTTTCTATTATTAAAAACTCATACGGACAATTGAAAACGAAACGTATATGAAAATGATTTTTTTTTTTAACACTATCAAAATGATTCTTTATCTAAAAAAACATATATGAAATGATTTTTTATTTATACCAAAAATAACATAATTATCGGCAAATAGGAATAAAACACGTGTCAGTATAGGGAGTATTTGTCGTTTTTCACCTGACACCGCCATACTCTCCCTCACTTCCTTCATTTTTGCTTTATAGCTTCTCTTCATAAAACCTCCAAAAACCCTAAAAGACCACAGAGAGAGAAAGACAGAGATCTCAAAAAGCAAAAAAGAAACCCTAAAAAGACTCCGAAATCTTCAGCCGCCGAATCATGCCTATCACGCACATCGCTCCGGCGCCTCACCCTCGCGGTATCGATCTTTAAACCCAGCAGATTATTATTACTTCACCATTTCTTTAAAAATCTTTGATTTTGTCGACTGATACATTTCTGTTTTGTTTGTGTTTGTGTAGATGGGTACTACGCCACGAACAATCCGTACCAAGTGAACGGCCCAAAAGGTTTTACTGAGTTCAAGTATCTGGAAGAGACCCATGATCTGTTCGTGAGGCTTGATTTTCCTGGAATCAAGAAAGAGAGTGTGATTATCCTTCTCGAACCATTGAAAAAAGCTGTTATTGTGACCGGAGAAGCACCTAAAGAGAGCAAACACGATTCTTCTCACCGCAAGTATGGAACCGCCACGGGACTAATCTGTGACTGCTGTGAAATCAGTAACATTCAGTGTTTTGTTGGTAATGGTGTCGTTAGACTCATCCTCTCCAAGCAGAAGATCAATCTTCGTGTTCCTACTTTCTGTTCTTGTAAGTTCATTAATCTTCAAATGTTTCTTTTTTTTTTTGGTCTTTTTTGGTAAAGAAAATTCTGACATTTTAAAAGAAAAAATCTGACATTTTTTGTTGTTGTATTGTTTCAGTTGGAGGTGCAAGAATGCCTACTGATGCTCCTGGTAATGTCTCTATCGGATTAATCTTTCATTATTTGTTCTTATATGTATCTATCGTTGGTTTATTAATGGAATTATGTGTTTTATATGACTTTAATTTGGCAGCTAACATCATTCGTGGTTATAACCCAGAAGGTATACGATTCTCAAGTTTTTTTTCTACTATTATTTTCCGGTTAATAGATCAGAGATATGTCTTATCCTTTGAGCTTCTTTTAGAAACTAGTCTTCGTTGTTTTTATTTAGTATAGAATCTGACAATTTTCATGGGTTTGTTGTGTTGATACCAATTGTTGCAGTCGCAGGTGGCCATCCTCTTGGTATGTATAATAACATCAACGTTTGACTACACCTTTTTACCATTTCTTTTTTTCTTTGACTTGTTTTATAAAATAAAAATCCTCTTATTTTTTTTTGGTCTTGACTCTTGCAGCTAATCTGCGAGGACTTAACCGAGAAGGTATATTTGATTTGATAGTTTTATCATCTTGTTATTAATTAGTCTAAAGACAGATATACTTCATAAACTATGTTGTTGATTAACTTCATTAATTGTTTTATTGCTTCATCGTAGGTTGCCGTGGCACTGACCCTTTTGGTATGATTAATATCTCCATTTGTTACACATAATTTCCAAATATATTCATTATAATTACACTATACATAAACAAAAGAATTAAGAGAGGCTTATTGATATATATATATATATATATATATATATATATATATATATATATATATATTTTGGTAAAAAGCTTATTGATATATGTTTTGTGGTTTAACCTTGGACAGATCCAGCGTTCACTGGTCCGACCATACTACCACACCCGTCAGTGTTGGAGGGATCCACCAGTGCTTACGAGACAAAGCAGCTCTCAAACGGAGGTCTGTATCTGCGTATTGACATGCCTGGTGTCCCTAGCGAGAGGTTCATGGTGGCAGTGGACGGCCACGGTGTCGTCACCATCATGGGAGGAGCTCCTGCGACCATGCACGACACGAGTGGGCGAGATTACGTAAGCCAGGTCGCTATTGTCCCTAGAGGCTATGACTGGAGTCGGATCAAAATAATCGCCAAGCATGGTGTCATCCGTCTCACTATCCCTCCCTACTAATTTATTCATCGCATCTTAAGATCATGACTTTTGGTATTATCATGTTTAAAACAATGGACTATATATCTTTTTGTCATTTCTTTTGGATTTCCGAATGTTTCAAGAACATTAATATGGACTTTAATATATATTATAGTGCTGTACAATACTATAAAATATTGGTGTCAAGAAGCCTCATGCTTTGTTTTGGGTGAGTGAGTGATATTGTCCTTTAATTACGAACCATACTTAGGTTTACCCCTGGGGTGAACCTTTAAATTCACCCAACAGATTATAGCCAATCGTTTTGCCATGTCATTACTAATACTAGAGAATTAAAAAAAAACACAATTAAAAAAAAAAGGAAATCAGAAAATAGATTTAGGGTTTAGGGTTTAGGGTTTAGATTTTACCATTAAAACGAAATTAGATGTCGGTTTGGGTTGCCAAATGAGTGGTTAAGGTTTAGATTTTATAATTAAAACGAAATTAGATATCGGTTTGGGTTGACAAATGAGTGGTTAGGGTTTAAATTTTACAATTAAAACGAAATTATATATCTGTTTAGGTTTGTGAAATATTTGTTATATAAACCCTAAACCCTAAACCCAAATCCTAAACCATAAACCCTAAACCCAGCGGTGAACAGATATATAATTTCGTTTTAATTATAAAATCTAAACCCTAACCACTCATTTGGCAACCCAAACCGACATCTAATTTCGTTTCAATTGTAAAATCTAAACCCTAAACCCTAAACCCTAACCGATATCTAATTTAGTTTTAATTATAAAATCTAAACCCTAACCACTCATTTGGCAACCCAAACCGACATCTAATTTCGTTTTAATTGTAAAATCTAAACCCTAAACCCTAAACCCTAAACCCTAAACCTTAAACCCTAAATCTATTTTGTGATTTCCTTTTTTTTTTAATTGTGTTTTTTTTTTTTTTAATTCTCTAGTATTAATAATGACATGGCAAAACGATTGGCTATAATCTGTTGGGTGAATTTAAAGGTTCACCTCAGGGGTAAACCTAAGCATGGTTCTTTAATTACGTGTACTAAAACTTTCGTACTAATTAGACAATTTTTATTATTTTTTTTGTGTCTATCTTCTTATTAAAATCTCACCTTAGCTGTGTACGGACAATTGAATACGAAACGGATATAATTTGTTTTTTTATTAATACCAAAAATTTAATAAAATGAAGCATTTGAAATTGTCGGCAAATAGGAATAGAACACGTCTCAGTATAAGGAGTGTTTGTCTTTTTTACCTGACACCGCCATACTCTCTCCCTTCATTTGCTTTATGAGCTTCGCTTCATAAAAAAAAACCTCCAAAAACCCTAAAAACCAGAGAGAGACAGATCTCAAAAAGCAAGAAACCCTAAAAAGCCTCCGAATCATCATGCCTATCACGCCCATGGCTCCGGCGCCTCACCCTCGCGGTATCGATCTTTAAACCCAGCAGATTATTATTACTTCACCATTTCTTTAAAAATCTTTGATTTTGTCAGACTGATCCATACATTTCTCTTTGTGTGTGTGTGTAGATGGGTATTACACTATGAACAATCCGTACCAAGCGAACGGACCAAAAGGGTTTACTGAGTTCAAGTATCTGGAAGAGACCCATGATCTGTTCGTGAGGCTTGATTTCCCAGGAGTCAAGAAAGAGAGTGTGATTACCCTTCTCCAACCATCCAAAAAAGCTGTTACTGTGACCGGAGACGCACCTAAAGAGAGCAAACACGATGCTTCTCACCGCAAGTATGGAACCTCCTTGGGACTACTCTGTGACTGCTGTGAAATCAGTAACAACATTCAGAGCTTTGTTGATGATGGTGTTGTTAGACTCATCCTCTCCAAGAAGAAGATCTATCTTCATGCTCCTACTTTCTGTTCTTGTAAGATCTTTTTTTTTTTTGGGTAAAATTATAAGTTCTGATATTTTAAACGACATTAATTCAAACAAATCTGACATTTTTTGTTGTTGTATTGTTTCAGTTGGAGGTGCAAGAATGCCTACCGATGATGATGCTCCTGGTAATGTCTCTATCTGTTTAATCTTTAATTTGATTATTTGTTCTTATTTGTCATCATTATCTATCGTTTGTTTATTAATGATGTGTTTAATTTATATGACTTTTGGCAGCTAACATCATTCGTGGTTATAACCCACAAGGTATAAGATTTTTATGTTTTTTATGTCTTCTATTATTTTCCGGTTAATAGTTCAGAGATATTTCTTATCATATGAGCTTGTTTTAGAAATTAGTCTTCGTTGTTTTTATTTAGTAACGTATATATATCTGACATTTTTCATGGGTTTGTGTTTGGTTCCAATTGTTGCAGTCGCAGATGGCAATCCTTATGGTATGTAACATCAACTTTTGACCAAACCTTTTTACCATGCACTTCGTTTTTTTCCTTTGAGTACTTGTTTTTTAAAATCCTCTTCTTTTTTGGTTAGTGAATCTTGGAGCTCATCTTCGTGGACTTATCCCAAAAGGTATATTTGATTTGATATTTTTATCATCTTAGACTACTTCATAAAACTTTGTGGTTGATTAACTAATTTACCTCATTAATTAATTGTTTCATCGTAGGTCGCCGTGGCACTGACCCTGCTGGTATGAACTTAATCTCCCCATTAATTGTGACATAATTTTCCAATATATTAATTTCATTATAGTATGTTTATATCACATGCATGATGTGTTTCTATCGTATATATATAATGAAACAAAAGACTTAATAGAGGCTTATTGACATATGCATGTTTTGTGTTTAACATTGGACAGATCCGGCGTTCACTGGTCCGGTCATACTACCACACCCGTCAGTGTTGGAGGGACCCATGATGCCTTACGAGGCAAAGCAGCTCTCAAAGGGTGGTCTGTATCTGCGTGTTGACATGCCTGGTGTCCCTAGCGAGAGGTTCATGGTGGCAGTGGACGGCGACGGTGTCGTCACCATCATGGGACGAGCTCCTGCGACCATGCACGACACGAGTGGGCGTACTTACGTAGCCAAGGTCGCCAATGTCCCTAGAGGCTATGATGGGGGTCGGATCAAATTGGTCCCCAAGCATGGTGTCGTCCGTGTCACTATCCCTCCCAACTAATTAATAAACCGCATATTAAGATCATGCTTATGCATGGAATTAATTATCATGTTTAAAACAATGGAGCATCTATCTGTTTGTCTTTTCTTTTGGATTTCCGAATGTTTCGAGAACTTTAGTATGTACCTAATTAAGACGTTTCACTCGTATGTTTATGCATGTTATGCTTAACTTTAATTTGTCACCGTGTGGTTATTATTTATTGCTGGTAAAAGAAAACTTATGAACTCATGAGAATTTTATGTTTGAGGAATTACAAAAGGAAAAAACTCATTTCTTAAGAAACTTGCAACTTTCAGATAATTACTCCTAATTATTAGATACTCAGACAAATAAAATAGTAGTTCATTAAATTACTTTACCACTGGAATTGGTTTTGGTAATTTTAGTTTTATGCTAGAAAAAAAAAATTGCTACTTTCAAGAGAGATTGACTCAAAAGTCTAGACTCTAGAGTGGCGATACAGCTCAGCTAACACGTGTGCTTCTAGATTGCTCCAAATCTTTTCTTACAGTGAATTATCTACACGTAGACCTCAGAAGGAATATGTAAATTGTATCACAAATCACAATTACTAACTTTTATCCTCTAATTTATTTTTACAATTTGATTCTGACTTTATCCAAAGTTGAAGGATTCAAAATGATCGCAGAGATTTTGTTCATCTTAATCGAGGTCGACTAACATTTTATCTATAAAATTTCTACATACAGTAACTCATTATTAAACGAATGAAAGATAACATAATTAGTCTAAACGCAAGATACCATAATTAGCCAACTGTTTCTGTTATGTCAGTCGAGATTAGTTATTGGATTTTAATCATGTGTACGCTAAACAATTTGCGGATTATTTTTTGTAAATCCCAAACCGTTGCAGACCAATTTTTTTTTCTGTCTTATTTCAAACACATTTACAGAGTACGGATGCGTTTAAAATAAAATGATGCGTTTGAAAACTGTCGCAAATAAGAATAGAACACGTGTCAGTATAGAGAGTTTGTCGTATTCTCACCAAGCACCACACCTCTACACCACGCCCTCCTTGCATCTGTATATTTCTCTATCAAACCTTAATTATTATTTTTAACCTTTTATCATTATTAATTAATAGGATAATTATCTGATGAACAATTAATTATTTTGTTTCTATACAGTTTTTCTTGGTGGCCCAGACGGACAATGTAATTATTATTCATATAATTACATCTGTTTTTGAAATACAGTTTACTTAATTAGAATGTTTAATTTACACTCTGATTTTCTGGTTATAGATACCTATGGCACGGCTCAATCTCATCACGATTTTCCCCATGGCACGGATCCTAATGGTATTCACATCATTCCCCTTAGACTTAATTATTACACATAGACTTACATTGTGTATAGGAGAGTGTTTGATGTCTAAATATATAGGAATATTAATTTGTTGTTGTTGTTTGTGATATATGCATGTTGTGGAGCAGATCCCAACTTGACGGGTCCGATATTGATTCCACACATATGTGTGGCCCAAGGATCGCAGATGCCTTATGAGTCTAAGAGGCTCCAAAATGGTGGTCTCTACGTGCGTGTAGACATGCCGGGTGTTCCCAGTGACAACTTCACTGTATCTGTCACGAATGGGAGAGTGAAGGTGACTGGTGAAGCTCCTGCTCTTAGCCACGACTCAGCTGGCCGTTCCTACTCTGGTGACGTCGCTATCCTCTCCACTCCTGTCGACCTTCCCGTCCGTAAGATCAAGACCATTGCCAAGAACGGTGTAATTCGTTTGGTCATCCCTCCCCTTTGATGTGAAACTTTGTGTTTGGGTCTGTTAAGTCTGGTTTTCTAGAGTGGACCCTTTTTTCGGGATAGTGTTGTTGTTTTAAGGATGATATTTCGGTTTTATGTTTTAGTACTTTGGTTGGATATGTCTCAACGACAAAACATATTTGGATGTGTTTCAACGACACAACTTATTTTGTCTAAAGCACTGGCCTTTATGAGTCTCTAAATTGTTTATCAGTTTCAAAGGTCACTATTGAATTGCAAAGAAGTTTAACAAAACTTTTGTCAACCAATACAATTATTTCAACTTTTCTTTATACAGATATATCCACAGATAACAAAAAGGGCTTTTAAAAAATGTGAAACAACCTTAAAATCTCTGCACATGGACTCTTCTTTGTCATCCTTGTAATTTGTTGCAAATGCAAATTGTGTTAAAATCTACCACACTTGCTTTACAGACATAGAAAAACAAGCAAGACAAGACTAGCTGTGCAACCTTGAAACCTTCCAGGCCTGCAGGAATTTCTGCATCAAGTCTTCTTTGTCATCCTTGTGATTTAATCACCGCTTGCAGGAATTTCACAAACTAATTTTAGCAATCATCTATATACTCTTCTTCTCAAGAATAAAAGTTTGGTGTGCCTATTCAACTAGGAATCAATGGAATTTCAGCTACCAAAACAGTTCTCTAACTTCAGGGCTTAATACCGCGATATGTCAGAGTTGCACAAAATAGTGTGTTGTCTCAAGTGGTTACGAGCCTAAGATTATATATGTACACACTCACCAAAAACTCTCTGCCTGAAACCCATTACTATCTCTGGTAATTGGTAGTGTGCAAAGAAGATATTGAACTGTCGAAAGGAGATTCTAGTTTTTACTATCAATGGGGGAAATACCTAGGACAATGAGTGGGACGAACAGCAGCTTGATTCAAGAAAACTCTAACATTGTGTCCATATCAAATGCAAATTGTCTTAAAATCTACCATACTTCCTGTACAGACTTAGAGAACAAGCAATACAAGACTAGCTGTGTAACTCATTAGGCACTGGATCTTTCCGAGCCTCAGTGACAATTTGACATGACAATAGACTGTGATGTCTTCAAAACGTACTCTAAACTATCTACCATGATTCTCTCAGCACCAATGAAGTACTATATATTCAAAAGCCAGGGTCACAATCGAGTGCCATTACATTTTTAGCAGGAAGCAATAAACTATCAACAAACTCACTTTACATCCTTTCCACTTTATCTATCTGTTGAAACATATATACTCACATATTCAACCACATACTCTTCTTCTGATGACAATAATTTTGCTGTGGAATATCAGCTACCAAAACAGTTCTCTGACCCAATTTTGAAACAAGTAAATTGAACCCACATAGTTCCAACTCTCAGGGTCTAAAAATGCTACCATCAAACTCCAATCATAACCAAGGAGATAGAAAATAATATTGATAAATCTGGATTAGTTATGTCCCCTTGAACCTGGATAAGACCTTCAATAAGGCTGCAAATCAATGGCCACTATAAAAGGAAGATCTCATTCTCTGCATAGCGTTTCAGCAACAACAAATGAGTTCAACAAGTGAATTACTGAACTAGCATAATTAAACAAGTAAAGAGAAAGGATATTGAAGAGAAACAGAGTGTGATAAATTAAGCAATATGAAACTTACTTTGCAGGAAGATATAATTGACGACTCAAGACCTACAAATATAAGTGCACTGATAAGAGTCAAAACGTTTTCTCTTAATTCTATCCACTAAGAATCCAGGAACAAGCAATAAACTAAGAACAAAACAAGCAAAAAGGCTTAGAAATGAATTTTCTAGAGCTCTCCCAAGTTAAGCCAAAAAGGGTGTCTCAGAGGCATTATATCGAACACATTATGGGCACTCTATAAGACAGACAATTCGATACAACAAGAAAAGGATATAAAGAGAACCCGCTAAAATACAGCAAGTATTATAAGTACAAAGAAATCAATAGCTAGACTAAATCATTAAGAAGAGATATGGGTAATTAATGAAATCATTTAGTATTATTATAAGGAGGTTTTGTTTTCCTTCGGTTAACCGTTTGGTTCAGCCAAACCAAACCGAAATAATTGAGAACCGATTGCAACTATAGTGCTATATATACCTGCCCTTGGTAATGTCTCTTTATCTGTTTAATCTTTTGATTATATCTTCTTATTTTTATGCCTAGAAAATCGTAATGGAATTATATGTTTTATATGACTTTTGGCAGCTAACATCATTCGTGGTTATAACCCACAAGGTCTTTGTCTTCTATTATTTTCCGGTCAATAGATCAGAGATCGATGATATGTCTTTATATAGTACTCCCTCCGTTTTCGAATAGTTGTCGTTTTAGAGCTTTTTTTTTGTTTTAAATTAGTTGTCGTTTTAAGGTAATAATGTAATTTATGCCAATAACTACCCAAATTACCCTCATTTTATTGAACACAAATTATTTGTAAATAATTACTTGTCATTTTTATGAGGTTAATATAGTCATTGTATACCTTTTCTTAATTTGTCCAAATACAGTTAAAACGACAACTTTTAAAAAACAGAGGGAGTATCTGACAATTTTCATGGGTTTGTTGTGTTGATTCCAATTGTTGCAGTCGCAGGTGCCCATCCTCTTGGTATGTATAACATCAACGTTTTTACCATTTTTCTTTTATCTTTGACTTGTTTTTTTTTTTTAATATATAAATCATCTTCATTTTTTCTTGTGTTCGTGAATTTGATATTTTTATCATATAGTTATTAATTAGCCAAACAAAGAAAACTTCATAAAAACTATGGTTGATTAACTAATTAACTTCATTGATTATTTTATTGTCCAGGTTCGCCGTGGCACTGACCCTCTTGGTATGAACTTAATCTTTCCATTGTCACATATATAATTTCCATATAATTATTTATTTCACATTGTGACATAAGCTCCTGCGACCATGCACGACTCAAGTGGGCGTAATTACGTAGGCAAGGTCGCCATTGTTCCTAGAGGCTTTTGTAGCCGTCGGATCAAAATAATCGCCATTGGGATCGTCCGTCTCATTACCCCTCCTTAGTTACTAATTAATTAATTCATAGCATCTTAATTTTTGAGAAATTCCTAAAAATGGTCCTAAAACAAGTTTTATTGACAATAATAGCACACACTCCATAAACTTCCAAAAATAGCACTACTTAACTTACTATTAGTGTTTTTGTTCTAAAAATTTTATCGCTAGCTTTTTTTCTTTTCAATAATACCACAACTTTTATATAAAAGCTATTCAACAAAATAAATTAGAAATAAATTTAAAATATTATATTTGGGTTCTCTATTTCCAATTTAGGGTATATATTTCCACCATTTAAAAGAGATTTTGATTCATTTTAATATTAGTTTATGGTATTATATTTGGGTTCCCTATTTCCAATTTAGGGTATATATTTTCACCATTTAAAAGAGATTTTTATTTTAATATTAGTTTGTGGTATTATATTTGGGTTCCCTATTTCCAAATTAGGGTATATATTTCCACTATTTAAAAACAATTTTGATTCAATTTAATATTAGATTAGTGTTTGCTCTCTTTTTCATTTTCTATCTTATATTTTCATTAAGTTTAATTGAAGTTTATGGTGCTATTTGTGGAACTTTTTAAATGAGATGCTATTTTTGGAAAAAACAACTTTTTTGGGGCTATTTGTGTCAATCTCCCTTGATTTTTAGATCATGCTTTTGGAATTAATTATTATGTACGTAACACGTTTTAATTATGCCTGTAATATGCAAATATTATCTCGTATATATGTTTTAATTATGCCTGTTATAGTAAATTTTATCTCCGTCTAATGCATGGTTACAAATAAGAGACTTGCAACTTTCAGATGACTCATACAATAAAATAATACTTCATTTTCTTTTTGTTCAAACAAAAATACTTCATTAAATATTTACTTGACCATTCGAATTGGTTTTGGTAACAGTATAATTTTAGATTAAAAACACAAAATTCACAAATGTGACACGTGTCCCCTAAGTGTTTTGTCCTGTCTTCACCAGACAATCCTTCCCTCCCATAAAGCTACCAAAACCCTAAACGCCAGAAGAACCCACAGAGAGATCTCAAACTAAAGTAGCTTAGCCTAGAAATCTCGGAGAAAAGCTTCTCTCAGCCGTTGAATCATGGTCAACCCTGTTACTCTAGCTCCTCAATCTCCCGGTAACTAGCTAAATCTCACTTTCAAAGTTACCATTTTGCTCTTCTTTAATTTTTACCCATCAAAATCCTTTCCTTTTTTTATATTTTTGATAAAAAAATCTCATCTTTTTTGCTTTTGTTTGCTGGTGTTGATGAATGATGATGGATGCAGAGGGATTTTACGCCATCAACAACCCATTTCTAGTAAATGGTCCAAAAGGATACATCGAGTTCAAGACATTGGAGAATGAAGACATGTACATACGGTTCGATGTTCCCGGAGTTCCAAACAACGGCGTCAAAGTCATTCTCGACCAGTCAAACAAAGCCGTGTGTATCTTGGGCGACGCACCCAAGGAACACAAGTACGACGCCTCTGTTCGGAGCTACAACGGCACCACCCTAAGAAAAAAGCTTAGTATCGGTGGTATAAACTCCAAAATCGTCTGCAAATGCTGTGACTTTTACTCCGGCTTCACCTCCCACGTGGCCGATGGAGTTCTCCGACTTGTTCTCACCAAGATCCACACCAATACTCCACGTCCTCCTTGCATCTGTATATTATATATAATCAAAACCCTTCACTTTTTATTGTGATTAATTCGATTTATTTAAAGATTCATATGATAATTATCTGATAATAGATACATTTGTTTTCTTCAGCGTTTCTTGGTGGCCCTGACGGAGAAGGTAATTTTATTAAAGAATTGAAATTTGTTATTTACATGTCTTTTTTTTCATCCACAAAAACATAGTTTACATAGATTTAATGTTTGCACTCTGTTTTTTTCTTTCCGGTCATAGATCCCTATGGCGCGGATCCTCACGATACGGATCCTCACGGTTTTCCACCATCATCGGATCCTAATGGTATTCACGTATTTCCCTCTCTGCAAGCTTATGTTATACACAACAAAATTAATTTATTAGTATTATGATATATAGACTTACATTGTGTATAGGAGAAGAGTGTTTAGTTGGTCTAATTAGGAATATTAATTTCTTGTTGTTTGTGATATATGTGGAGCAGACCCTAACTTGACGGGTCCGATACTGATGCCACACCCATGTGTGGGCCAAGGATCGCAGATGGCTTATGAGTCTAAGGTGCTCCAAAACGGTGGTCTATACGTCCGTGTAGACATGCCGGGCGTTCCCAAAGAGAACTTCACCGTCTCAGTCACGAATGGGAGAGTGAAGGTGACTGGTGAAGCTCCTGCTCGTGGTCACGACTCAGCTGGCCGTTTCTACTCCGGTGACGTGGCTGTGCTCTCCTCTCCTGTCGACCTTCCCGTTCGTAAGATCAAGACCATTGCCAAGAATGGTGTGATCCGTTTGATCATCCCTCCTGTTTGAATGATTTCGTGATGAAGCTTTGTGTTTGGGTCTGTTAAATTTGTTTTTCTAGAGTGGATCGGACCCTTTTATTCGGGATAATGTCGTTGTTTTAAGGATGATGTCGTTTTATGTTTTAGTACTTTGGTTGGATATGTCTCAACGACAAAACATATTTTTGATGTGTTTCAACGACACAAGTTATTTCGTCTAACCACAGTCTCTCTGGCTCTCTGTCTTTCCTTCTCAATCATCTTCCTCTTCAAACTTTCTTCCCTCAACTCCACTAAGCTCTTCTTCCCACTCATCTTCTTCTTCTTAGCTTCATCACCTGTATATCCATCGCTTCTGTGGAAGAATGTTCAAACCACCGTGACTTCCCATGGTTTAATGGAAATCAAAAAGCTCCCACTTTTGCCGAATTTGTGAAAAAAAAAAGCGAAACAAGATTTGGATTTTGCATAGTTTGATCTTCCAAAAGTCCAAAACGATGAAATTGAATTGAAAATGAAGAGATTATTGGAATAAAAATTAGAGAAAATCCGCGTAAATTATTGATGATATCTAACTATGAGGCCCATTACGTGCTATTTTGACAATTATAGGCCCAAATAAATCTGCTTTAGAGTGATGCAACATCAACAGTCGTAAGATATGATGACGTTGTATAATAGGCTAGTGGTATGAACGTAATCTCTCCATTGTGACATAATTTCCAAATATATTAATTTCATTCTACTTATATCTAAATATATGCGTGAACGTATTACTACTCGTATATATATATATATCAATTACACTATGCTAAAACAAAAGACTTATTGTTTTGTTGTGAATTACATTGGAGTATTGGACAATACTATACCACTACCACACCCGTCAGTGTTGGAAGGATTCACGAACTCTTACGAGTCAAAGCAGCTCCCAAACGGTGGTCTGTTTCTGCGTTTAAAGGGTTTTGCCAACTCATCATCCTAGCTTCCGTACTAATTAATTCATAGCATCTTCATGCTTAATTATGGAATTAATTACCATGTTTAAAAGTTAAAACCATGGACCATCTGATTTTGTCTTTTCTTTATGATTTCCTTATACATTTCAAGAATACTAATATGGACTTTAATATTGCTGGTTAAAGAAAACTAATTAGACTGAGAATTTTATCTTTCAGGAATTAACTTGTATACGGCTTACACAAAGAAAAAAAAAGTTAATACTAATTTCTTAAGAAACTTGCTACTTTCAACTTCACTTGGTAATTATGTCTTATACACAAATCTGACGTCATATAGTTATTAATATAAATTCCCTTATTTTTGCTAATAAACCAACGTAAGACAGTTGTTTCACAAAAGGAGGGAAACGCGTGTCAAACTACTACTGGTGTAAATCACAAATGTAAAAAGACACAAGTACCCCTAGTGTAATGTCGTGTCTTCACCTGACAACTCCGTCCTGTTGCCTTCCCTCCCATAAAGATCTCAAAAACCCTAAATGTCAAAAACCCAGAGAGAGTACTAATCCCAAAGTAGCTAGCCAGAAATCTCACAAAAAAAAAACATCACTCTCTCAGTTGAATCATGGTCGTCCCTCTCAGAGCTATTCCTTCATCTCGCGGTACTAAGAGCATCTCCAATCTCAAATCTCAAATCTCACTTACATTTGCTCTTTTTACCCAACAAATTAAAGTTTCCTCATTTTTTTTTGCTAAAAAACTCATCCTTTTTTTGGTTCTTGTTGTTGATTTGAACAGAGGGGTTTTATGCAATAAACAACCAGTTTTTAGCAAATGGACCAAAAGGGTTCATGGAGTTCAAGAAGTTGGAGAACGAAGATATGTTCGTGAGGATTGATTTTCCCGGCGTTCCAAAAGATGGTGTGAGGGTTATTCTTGACCAGTCCAAGAAAGCTGTTTGTATCTTCGCCGACGCACCAAAGGAACACAAATACGACTACTCTGAACGGAACTACGGTACCAGCACCGGACTTGTCTGCAAATGCTGTGAAGTCTCCGGCTTCACTTCCCTCATGTGCGATGGTGTTCTTAGGCTTATTCTCACCAAGTCCAACATCACTCCACAACGCTCCTCCTGCATCTGTAATTACATTTCTTTTTCAACTTAATTTATTATTCAGTCATTTAAATTTGGAAACTTTTTTGGTAATAAAAACTTTTGATTTTGTGTTTTTCTTACAGCTTTTCTTGCTGGCCCAGATTTCAGAGAAGGTATTTTATTCGATCTGTCGTTTTCACCAAACTTTCTATTTTGATATATCGTCTCTGAACAATTACAAAGTCTTCATTTTTCTTTGGGTAAATAAAAAGTCTTCATTTTTCCTTCACTAACGTTTGAAAATGTTGTCTTTTCTATGTGTGGTCATAGATCTCCGTGGCGATGATCCTTACAAATTTCGCCATGGCACGGATCCTAATGGTATTCACATATTTCCTCCTCTACAAGCTTATGTTATACATATCATCAAGAATGTCATATAGGGACAAACACTGTATAGAGTAGTAGTGAGCTTGGTTAGTCTAAAAGGGAATGTTTGTTGTCTTGTTGATGTTGTGGTATATGTGGAGCAGATCCGAAGTTAACAGGTCGGATATTGATGCCACACCCATGTGTGAACTATGGATCGGAGATGGCTTATGAGTCCAAGCAGCTTCAAAACGGTGGTCTCTACGTGCGTGTAGACATGCCAGGCGTCCCCAAAGAGAACTTCACCGTCGCAGTCATGAATGGGAGAGTGAAGGTGACTGGTGAAGCTCCTGCCGTTAGCCACGACTCAGGTGGACGTTTCTACTCCGGTGACGTTGCTATGCTCTCCACACCTTTCGACATTCCCATCCGTAAGATCAAGATCATTGCTAAGAACGGTGTGATTCGTTTGATCATCCCTCCTGTTTGATTTCATGATGATGAAGCTGCTATGTTTTCTGTTTCTTTAAATTCGTGAAGCCTTGTGGACTTCTTTAGGGATTATTTCGTAATTTTGGACTTATGCTTTTATCAACTTTGATATGTTTCAAAATGACAATCCTTTTTTTTTGGTGTCTAATATGAGTCTCTAAATTGTTACCAATTTCTCAAGGTCTCTCTATTGGTTTGCATTAGATAAAATTACAAAAAGTAGTTGTTGTCTAAGAACCAACAAATACTATGCAAGAATTAAGTGTAATTTGAAATAATCTTCAAGTGTGAATGCAGATAAGATTGGACGGCTGTGATTTTCGTTTCAATATCAACTAAATAATATGTACCGTCGGATTCTTTTCATATTAATAACTTTTCGTCAAAGGTCAAAAGTAAACATGCCACGTCAGCTGAGAAGTGTAGATATTTCCTTTTGTAGCCTTCCCATACCCATAAAGTTCGAGAACCTCTTAATGCAAAAACCCTAAAGCACTGAGAAGCTTGAATCTTTGGTTGAATCATGGCAATGGCCGTTCCTCTTAGTGCTCGTCCTCAATCTCCCGGTATGATTCTTCTAAAATCTCATACACATTTCCACTTTTACGATCGCCGTTTTTAAGTTGGAACAAATTCTCAGGGGCTCCTCAAGCTCCAAATTTAGTCTCAAATACTCTTCAATGGTAGAAAGACAAAATTACCCTTAATGAGGGTTGATTTTGGGTGATAAGGATTAAATACAATTAAATCGGTAAGTGTTCAACGAAAAACACAATAGCTCAGTGGTTGCGAGCTCCGTGCGCACGCGCGCGCCCCCAGGGTTCGAATCCTTTTATACGGGTTGTAACTGGTACAACTAGGGAATATTCGGGTACAACTATGTTGTGGTACAACTAGGTGGTACAACTAAGGTCTGGTACAACTAAGTTGTGGTACAACTAGGAGGTGGTACAACTAAGGTCTGGTACAACTAGGAGGTGGTACAACTAAGGAGGTGGTACAACTAGGAGGTGGTACAACTAGGATGGTACAACTAGGAGGTGGTACAACTAGGATGGTACAACTAGGAGCTCACTACAAGAAAACATGGATTTAGCGACGACATTCAGCGACTGATAAATTGGTCGCTGAATTTAAGGACTGAATTGCGACATTTAGGCGACTGAATGTTGCCTAAACAACATTAGTCGCTAATCCGTCTGCATTTGGCGACTGATAAAAAAAGTCATTGTATAGTCGCCAAATTTGGCGACTAAGTAGCTTCTGAATGTTTAGTCTCTAAAGTGGGCTACTAAGTAGCCACGTTTTAGCGACTATAATTTCTTATTGGGCCTTTTAATTGGGCCTTTTAACTCGATCCATTAGATTTTTTGTGAAGGCCCATGCTATAAATAACCTATAACTACCGCGGAAAACCCTAATCCCTCATTTCTCTAACCCTAGATCCCCAATTCTCTCTATCTCACGACGAACCCTAACCCTAACCCGACCAATTTCTCTCCGATTCGACCAATTTCTCTCCGATTCTCTCTCAGTCTATCACAATCTCTACAAATTTCGTCGATTCTACTTCTTTTATCCCTAATCGATGGCTCCTCGTGTTCGTGGTGGAAAACCCAAAGGAAGAGGAAGAGGAAGGGGACCGCAGTCTCCGGCGAAGCGACCCGTTGTCCCAACTCGACCTATATCTTCCGGTGTGTCGACTCGAAGGCCTAGAAGCCTTCCGCCGCAGTACGAGTTCACGCCGGCGAACCCTCAAGATCCAATTCCAGAGACTGAGCAACCGGAGATTCGCCAGCCTTCACCGCGAGTGAGTCTGAGAGACTATCCACCTCCTCAGCAGCTTTTCCAGTCGGGCGAAGGATCTCTGCATGCATCTGGTGGATCTCCTCGAGGCTCCGGATCGACTCCATTTCAAGCATCCAGATCTACTCAAGTCAGAGGGTCTGTGTCCTCTGTTCATCGGCTAGCCTCCGGATCTCATCGCGCTGCTCAGTCTCCAGCACCGGTTCAGTCTCCAGCACCGGTTCAGTCTCCACCCTTGAATCAACCTCGAGCAAGAGCTTCTGTGTCTGGCCACAGTTCTCAAGCTCAAAACGTAGAGGATGAAGAAGATGAAGAAGATGAAGAAGGTGAAGAAGGTGAATCGGAGGAAGAAGGTTTGAGGGAATCAACTCTCCCGGAAGATGTGCTCGCTACATTAAATGATCTCCTTTCCCTGCCAGGCCGTGAGCTCTATACCACTGTCATCTCTCCGACATTGGAGTCTGGAACGACATGGTAGGTTTCACGACTCTGCTTAGTTAGTATATAGGTTAGTCTGTTTTAAATACTTGTTAGGTGTGTTAGTTAGTATATAGTTTGTGTTTATGTCTGTTTAGGTATAGTTTGTGTCTGTTTTAGTATAGTTTAGGTTAACTTTGTGTCTGTCTTCATCTAGTTTTGTGTCTGTCTTAGTATAGTTTTGTGTCTGTTTTAGTATTGTTTTGTGTCTGTTTTAGTATTGTTTTGTGTCTGTTTTAGTATAGTCTGTTAGGTCTACATATAGATTAGGTCTTCTTGTTATCAATTGGAATTCATAGCTAACTGTATTATGTTTTCTTGTAGGTTTGGTAAGGATAAGGGTAAGCTGACCCGGAAGGTCACCAAGTGTTTTACTAACAAGTTTGATGGACCATACTACAGTTGGAGTTGTGTGCCAACTGGAAGAAGAGAAAGATACTTTCTTGAATTCGCTGTAAGCTTCTATCCCTCTTCTACTACTGTATTTTCATATTGTATTTTGATAACTAACATCTGCTTCACTGTCCTCTTGTTTTGGTAGAAAACACACACCTGGCATCCCTCAGTTACAGGTGTGGTTGAAGCCAAGTTCTACAAGATCATTGCAAATCGTATGAAAGACATGGTTAGTAAGGCAGGGTCAAAAAGCCCAAGAGTGAGGCCGTATTGGATTGAGAAAACTCTGTGGAGAGAGATGTGTAAGTATTGGGATACTGAAGAAGCCCAAGCCAAGAGTTCAACCACATCAGCAGCTAGGATGTCTGACCGTAATGGTCTTGGTCCTCACAAGCATGTTTCTGGTCCAAAGTCCTTTTTACAAGTGGAGCAAGAGATGGTAAGTTACATGTCTGTTTTAAATACTTGTTTTGTTTATTACTTGCTGACATCTCTGTTACTATATTTCAGGAAGTTGAATTGGGAAGACCTCCTACTATTGGAGAAGTGTTCATCAGAACTCATACCAAGAAGGATGGGACATTTGTGGATAGGAAGGCGCAGGAAATCCATGAGGCATATCTCAAGAACAAGGCAGCTAAGTTGGCTGCCCTGCAAGAGAATGATGAACAGGATGATGGTAATTCGCGTCAGTCTGAGCTGTCTCAGGAGGAGGATGATGAGATATTTCTTCAGGTAGTAGTCTTGTCTTTTGCTCTGTAGTCTACTTTTATCTGTTAAGCACTAATGTTTTTACTTTGTTTTGCAGTCTACTGTCACAAATGATAGAGGGGATTACTTTGGAATTGGCAGCTTAGGGGTTTACATCAACGGGAAGCGCAAGTACGCAGGAAGCAGCTCTTCTTTCACAACCCTGCAGTCACAGCTTGAGGATGCTAACCGCAAGATAGAGGAACAAGCAGCTTTACAAGCAGCACGTGAAGCAGAGGCATTGCGGGTCGCAGCATCACAAGCAGCTGAGATCAAGCATTTGTCTATGGTGAAGAAGTACCTGAGTCAAACTGACCCTAATTTCCTGGCCTTCCTCAATTCCCAATCAACTCCTGCTGCGGAGGATGATCATTCAGAGGTCCAACCAAATCCAACTCCTGCTGCTAATGCTGATGGTACTACTCCTGCTACTTAGTTTTCTCTCCTCTTAACTCAAAAACTTGAACTTGATCTTTTGGTCTTGTACTTATGGTACAAGTATGTTTGTATTTATGTCTTGTGAACTTGATATTTTGGACTTGTATTTATGTTTTTATGTTTATTAAGAACTTCTTTTAATTCAAAAGTTGTTTTTGTATGTTTGGTTTTAATTAGTAATTGCAAACGTAATTGGAATCAAAATAAGCAGGCAAAATCGATAAATAAACCTCCAGTAAGTCGCAAAACGATAGCAATTCAGTCACTAAAGCATTCATAAAACAGTCGCCTTGTAGTGTCTTTTTGTCGATTCCGCAGTCACCAATTAGTCGCCACAACAGTCGCCTAATAGTGACCTATTAGTAGCAAAACAGTCGCCAATTTAGCGACGCATACGCGACGTAACGGCGACTTAAATAGTTGTCGCAGAATGGTCGCTATTTAGCGACTATTAGGCTACTATTAATTTTAGCGACGCAGTGTTCGGCGACAACGTTTATTAGTCGCTAATTAGTCGTTATTATGTGTTTAGCGACTCTTTAGTGACGTTTCTTGTAGTCGCTAAATCCATGTTTTCTTGTAGTGAGGTGGTACAACTAGGATGGTACAACTAGGAGGTGGTACAACTAGGATACCAGTTGTACCACGTATACCTAGTAAAGGGGTAGTTTCGTCCTTTCATTAAAAGGAGGAGAGTATGTGGATTAGAGGAGAGTATGTAGATTAATTCTTTGACTCTGAGGAGCAATTGAGATTAGTCTCCTTTTAAGTTTCATTTCTCTGATTTTTTTGGTGTTTTCTCTCTTTTAATGTTGGAGAAAGCAGAAGGTTTTTACGCAATCAACAACCAGTTTCTGACGTCTGGGCCAAAAGGGTTCACTGAGTTCAAGATGCTGGTAAACGAAGACATGTTCGTGAGGATGGATTTGCCTGGAGTTCCTGAAGAAGGCGTGAGGGTTTTTCTTGACCGGTCGAAGAAAGCTGTGATTGTTTACGCCGAAGCACCCAAGGTTCACACACACGACTCCACCGACCGTACATACCTAACCATAACTGGACTTATCTGCAAATGCTGTGAGATCTCAAACATCACCACTCACATGTCCGATGGTGTTCTTAGACTTCTCCTCTCCAAGACTCCCATCAATCCACACCGCTCTTCTTGCATCGGTAAGTACCCATTTTTTCTCTATTATTATCGTTTATAGATCATTTTTCTGATATAAATAGTTTATGTTTTTGACAGCATTTCTCGGTGGCCCACGTTTCCGAGAAGGTATTTCCATTTTTATTCGATCTACCATTTCCAGAAACTTTCAATATCTAAAAGTTTGGCTTTTTCCTACACAAACTTTTGAAATTTGTTTACTCATCTTTAAATGTTTGTCTTTTCTATTTGTTTGTGGTGGTAGATCTCCGTGGCACGGGTCCTCACAGATTTCCCTATGGCACCGATCCAAATGGTATTCTCCTCTTCAACTCTATGGTTATTATATTGGTACTGAGAATATTGGGTGTTTTAAAAGAGAGTATTTGTGTTGTAATGTGGATCAGACCCGGCGTTAACCGGTCCGGTATTGCAGCCCCATCCAATGGCGTTCCCACTAACGACTATGGCCTATGAGTCGAAGCAGCTCCCAGACGGCAAACTATACGTGCGTGTAGACATGCCGGGTGTTCCCAGTGACAACTTCACTGTCTCTGTCACCAATGGGCGAGTCAAGGTGACTGGTGAAGCTCCTGCCGTTGGCCACGACTCAAGTGGCCGTTTTTACTCTGGTGACGTTGCTATGCTCTCCACTCCTGTTGACATTCCCACCCATCGGATCAAGACCATCGCCAAGAACGGTGTGATTGGTCTCCTTATCCCTCCATTTTGATGATGATGTCATGATGAAACTTTGACTTTTCTAGAGTGGACCTTTTATCTGGGATTGTGTCGTTTGTTTTTGTGGATCATGTCGTTTTATGTTTTTTCATCAGTACTTTTGATATGTTTCAACGACACAACTTTTTGTCTAACGCACTGTCCTCTCTCTAGTTTGCCATCATCTTCAAAAGTCTGTTGAATTGCAAAGCATTTTTACTAAACTTTTGCTCTGAGTATCAAATTTAGGGGACACAACTCTTTGAGCAAGAAGCATTGGCAAAGACAAATGATTTCCACCATCAAACTCACTACACATCCTTTCCACTTTTCTATCTGTTGAAACATCTCTATACACACAAATAAATATATAGATGACAAAAGGGGCTTCTCAGACGTGGAATCACCTTTGAATCTCTGGATCAAGTAATCTTTGTCATCCTTGAGATTTAATCACCGTCTGCAGGAATTTCACAAGCTAATATTAGCAATCACCTGTATTCTTTTCCTCAAAACTAAAAGTTTGGTGTGCATATTCAACAAGGAAACAAAGGGATTTTAGCTACCAAAACAGTTCTCTAACTTCAGGCCATAACACTGATATGCCACAGAATCAAAACTAGTGTGTTGTTTCAAGCGGTTACGAACCTAAGATTATATATGCACACACTCACGAAAAACTCTCTGCCTAATACTAATCTGGAGTTGGTAGTGCAAAGAAGATATTGAGCTGTCAAAAAGGAGGTTCTAGGTTTTTACTATGAATGAGGGAAATACCTATGACAATGAGTGGGACAAACAGCAGCTTGATTCAAGTAAACTCTTAACATTGGGTCCATATCAAATGCAAATTGTTTTAAAATCTACCACATTTCCTGTACAGGCTTAGAGAACAAGCAATACAAGACTAGTTGTGTAACCTATTAGGCACTGAAACCTTCCAGGACCTGTGACAATTAGTACAGGACAATAGACTGTGATGTCTGCAAAACGCACTCTAAACTATATACCATGATTCTATCAGCACAAATGAAGTACTATGCAATAGCCAGGTTTACAAACGTGTACTATTACTTTTTGAGCAGGAAGCAATAAACAATCACCAAATTCACTTCACATCATTTCCTCTTTTTCTATCTGCTTAAACTCTCTACACATATATTCAATTACATACTCTTCATCTGATGACAATACGTTGCAGTGCCTGTTCTAGTTGGAACCAATGGGATTATCAGCTACCAACCCAATGTTGAAACAAGTAACTTTCAGGGTCTAAATGCTACCATCAAACTAACAAACAACCATGCTTCACTAAACTTTTAAATATGCTAAAGGCCAGGACCTGTTAACCTATTGATGCCAACATCCTCAAATATCTATCACACTCAAAACCATCTACCATGATTCTATCAACACAAATGATGTACAAGTACCACATAGCGCTAAGCAATAAACTAACACTAGAGATATAAATCAAGCAATAATAAAGGATTCCACCAACAAACTATCACTACACATCCTTTTCACTTTCCTATCTGTCGAAAGATATTTTCTTTATACGCATATACATATCATAAACAATAAAAGGGCTTTTAAAAGGTGAAACAACCTTTGGATCTCTGCATCAAGTCTTCTTTCGTCTTCTTTGTCATCCTTGTGATTTGATCACCGCCTGCAAAAGAATTTCACAAGCTAACTTGAGCATTCATTTGTACTCTTCTTCTCATGACTAAGAGTTCTCTAAAGGCTAGGACTTGGTAAATTATTGATTCCTAGATATCTATCACACTCCAAACTATCTAACACGGTGCTATCAGCACTAAAAAAGTACAAGCATCAAGTAGCGTTATGCAATAAACCAACACTTGGGATATGAATCAAGCAACAGTTAACTACTAACTTGCACAAAAACTATGCAAATCAAGTATAATTTCATCATGACGTGTCACACGTGTGAAACCAGAACCACCAATATAATCAAAAGACTCACCGCCGTGAAAAACCACCGTCTCTCTGGCTCTGTTTCATGAAAAGGGCTCTCTCTCTTTCCTTCTCAATCCTCTCCCTCTTCAACCTTTCTTCTCTCAACTCCTTCAAGCTCTTCTTCCCACTCATCTTCTTCTTCTTAGCTTCATCACCTCTATATCCATCATCATCCTCACCACGAACAGAATCATCTTCACCATTACGTTTCTCAAGATACCAAGGACGTTTCACACCTTTACCAGCAACTCCATATCCCAATCTATACTTCTCCTCATCAGGATCACCAGCTCTCGCTGCAGCATCTTTCGCAGAAGCTCTCGCCGTTGCAGCCGCTTCTTTCCTCATCTTCTTCCTTCTCTGATCTTCCTCCTCCGCAGGCTTATCATTCTTCGGGATCTCAATCGGATCAAATATCCTAATCCCTTCAAATAGATTAATATGACCCGTCTTCGGCTCCTCCGGTTCACCACTCTCCACAACAACATCAGTGGATTTAACAACAGCCGCCGCCACCACCACCGCCTCATCCTTACCCTTCTCTGCCTCCGGAGAAGCTCGTTTGAGAGGCGCTAAGCCACGGACGTTACGAAGAACTTCGAGACGAGATTCAGCATCTCGTTTTCTAGCTTCTTCGCGTTTGATCTGCTCTTCTCTGGCGGCAGCTTCTTCGTCCTTTCGAACTTTTTCTCGATTGTCGAAGTTGTATACGTTCCACCGCTTCTGTGGAAGAATATTCAAACCACCGTGACCTCCCATGGCTTAATCTTTCCAAACAAATTTAGGGTTTTCAAACGATGAGATTGAATCGAACCAAGAGATGGATGAGAGAACTTCCAAGCGGATTGGAAAATAAAAACTTGATCGGAATAAAATTGAATTTTGGCAGAGAAGTTAGAGAAAATCGCCTAATTATTGATATTTAACTTTAAGGCCCATTGAGCCCATTAAGTGATATTTTAATAATTAAAGGCCCAATAGATCTGCTTTAGAGTGATGCAACGTCAACAATAGTCCTAAGTTGATGAATCTCTGTTTCAGATTCTTGTTGAGAAAATCTGTGACACATGTAGTGTTGTTGATGCTACGAATTTGTTTTAGCATCAAGATAAAAGTGCTAGTAAATGAAAGATTATTAAGTAACTCTCAAGATTAAAGTGCTTTAAGAACTACTAAGTACATGTTCCAAAACTCTTATCTATTTCTTTCCTTACAATTTTCTTCTTCAATGCAAACTACATATACACCAAAAATAAGATTCTGCACAATGTCAGATACTAAACACCAAAAGCTAGTTTTCTATTCAGCATTAAGGTTGAGCCAATCAAACTCATTCGCTGGTAGCTCTTTTTCCTCTTCTTTAACTCCTCTCTCAACAATCACATTGATTCTCCACAACACAATCTTACTTTCCCATTTCATGCCTTTGATTGCATAGAGTCTCCAAAGCAGACCCTTAAGGAACTTGTATTGGCTCGTACTGTACCATTCCATTTGTTTCTTCACAATGCTTTCAACGTCTCTGAAAGCTCTCCTCACAAGCCCAACTTCCTTTTTTCTTTCCACTAGCTCTCTTATAGAATCTATCATCTTATGTGCAATCTCTTTAACGGATTCAGCTTTACTTGACATCTCTATCAAGTGAATTGCTAAACAAAAGCCACCCATAAACGCCAAGACCCAGCTACTGTTATCTACCAACAACTCTCTTGGTGGTTCTAGCCTTGTGATTATCTCTAGGAAAAGATTCTCCATCACAGGAATCACAAAATCGTCATCAATAAGCGCCATTGTTAAGCACTGGAAGATATAAACCGCTCTTTGAAACTCTGTTTTACTCGATGCAATATAATCGCGTAGCTCATACCATGTCTCCTCTTGAAAGATCAACATCTCATACGCAACATGGTTCACCACCTCACCTAGGACTTTGAACATACTGTATGAAACTACTTCTTCCTTCAAGCAAGAGATAAGCAATGGTTGGAGTTGTCTCATCTCTGAAATGTCTATTTGCACTTTCTTTGAAGTGTGGTCACAGAGTAAGACATTGAGTCGTCTGATTGCTATATCTCTGGACCTATCTTCAAGTTCAGAGGACGCAAAGATCTTTAACCATTCCAGTGAAGATAAATTCTTCAAACGATCATACCATCCACGGTCAAACTCTTCTCTACCATTCTTAAAATCATCATCATGTGGTTTGATGGCTGCAGGATTGTCCGGTTCTGCAACCAACATTTCGATCTTCCTCACAATCTCCTTGGTCTGTGTTCCGACTACTCCTTCGATCTCGTTCATGGAAGCCAACACAAAATGGCATTGATCTTTAGTGTAATGATACAGATTCATGTCTCGTGAGAAGAACCTCTCGAAATCTTCAAGCCCTCGTACCAAAAACTGTTCTTTTTCCATCTCCACTAGCTTCTTTACAGAATTCAAAACAGAGGAAATCCAAATCTCCATTAACGCCATTAGTAACTCGAATCTCATCCCTGTTTTCAGAAGCTGAATCCACATTTTAACAAAAGTTTGTAAAGCCAAGCTCCAATCTTCGACTCTATAAGGATAAAGAATGACATTACTAGCTTCCTCCAAGGTTTTGTTCAAAATCTTGTCGATAAAACTCTTGTAGACTGGTGGCAGATCGATGAAGACGATAAAAGCCTTGGTAGGTTCTTTGCTACTCGCTAGCGATAAGATACAATCACCGAGCTCGTCCCATTTGTCTTTATGTAACTCCACGACATTGTAAACTACGAAAGACACGATTTTTCTGAGGATCTTGATGTCAGATTCTTTGGTTTCTTGCATTGTAAGGCATGAAATCAAAACCCTTTTGATTTCATAGAGAGAGTCGAGAGAGAATTTGGACAAGATGATTTGAGTTTTCAGATGGGTGAGAGTTTCGGAGAGTTGATAGATTGATCGGAGTCTGAGAACGCCATTGGAAGAAGATTGATAGACTTTAAGAAGCTTTAGGGTTAAGCAAGCTGGGTTATTAGAGACGCAGGAATCGTACAGCGCACGCGATGTTTTATACTCTTCGGAGTCTTGACGCTTAAAGAGATGATCGATGATCATTGCTAATTCTTCATGGCTTTCACTCACAAGAATCTCTCGCGCTTTCGACATGAGATTCAAAGATTCCTCCATAGCGATTTCTCCGGTAAATTTTCCCGAGAAAATTTCGGATCTTCTGAAAAGTTTCGGAGCTGAGTTTTTTTTTTTACGAAACTGAAGATAAACCGGAACTAACCGTATATTTAGTTGAAATCATTCGATTTTTGTGGACAAGTAAAAACATTTTTTCTTTTTGCGTTTACCAATCAAGAGTTTTTTAGTTTTAGATTGAAACGTGAACCGGCTTGAACTCGGTTAATTTGTTTTGTTGATATTTACAGACAGAGTACAGCTGATGCATCAATTTCAGAAGTGAAAACTCACACCTTCTTATTTACATGGTACTTAACTACTTTTTACTATCTTTTTACCAAGATTTTGTTAGTAAAACACGCATAATATTAAACTGAAATGAAAGTCTTCTATTCTATTTGGTCACAAACTGATGAAAGTACTCTAATTAACTACATAGTAAATGAAACCAAGTAGGTAACATAATTAATATAAAAGCAAAAGAATCAAATGTAAAAGCAAAAGAAACTTAACCTAGCTAAACAGAAATAACTAGAAAAACAACTTAGTAACCTTGTAGACTTTAGAAGCGACCATCTTGTTTGCAGTTTGAACAACCTTGGTATAAGATTCTTGTATGCTTCCACAGGCAGCGAGTATTTACTCTTTGACTTGTCTTGTTGAAGATGTTGACCGTCCCACCTCGAAACACTCGTTCACCATCATATTAAGAGTATCTGAATCAATCCCACTCCAGTAACCGCTATTGTCAAGCCTATACTCGAACAATGCCCATGCCTCTGTTTTCTTGCCGTACTTGAGCAACACTTTCAAATACTGATTGCCCATAGTTTCATTTGTTGTGAAGCCCTTGTTACTCACTGAGCTCCTATATAGCTCCATAGCTTCCTCATCGTCCTTGCCTTGCTTAAACAAATACTCTACGAATATTGATTCCAGGACTGCGATATACTCGCATATGGAACAAGTCTTGAAGTCGTCCCAGAGCTCATACGCCATGTCGAGATTCCCTTGTTCCATGAAGCCACGAATAAGATTCATGTACATGCCTGGCTTTTGGAAATTGAACAAGTCAGCTCTTCCTTTCAACAAGAGATCAAGAGCTTGGTTCATCATTCCGGCATCGACCATGGCTTTGGTCAAGTGGTCGTACGTGTTGTGGTCCGGAGAAGGAGTGTGGTCCGAGGAGAGAAGGTGGGAGTATAATCAAAGAGCATCGTCAAGGCGGCCTTGATCGCAGTGGGATTTGATGATGAAATTGCAGGAAGCGATGTTTAGCTTCATCTTGGATTTGTTAAAAAAGAAATCGAACATATCCACGGCGTCGCCGGACCGCCCAGCGTTGCACAAGGCTACGATGATGGCGTTGCAGGTTAAGATGGATTCTTCAGTAAATTATTAATGTTTTGGTAGAATTAATCGAAATTAGAGACATCAGAACAACTATGGATTTTTTTTTGTTCGACCCTAACAGTAAAAACCATTCATCAGTGTGGTAAATGTTGAAAATATATTACGATTATAATTGATACAACCATCAGTTTGGTCAAAAACACCTATTTTCGATCGATTTTTGGACCAAAACTAAGTTGATGTAAATTTTTTGGTCGGAAGTTGATTTTTGTCAAACATTGGTCGTACATTTTTTTACCAATAAAATGGTAGGAATTTTTTTTGACCAATAATATGGTTGACATTTCTTTGGCCAATAAAGTGGTAAAATATTGAAAAAACAAAAATAGTCAAAACTTTATGACCAAGATAATGGTGAAAATTATATTTCTACCAATTTTCGACCATATATTCCAATCTGACTAACTTATATATTAGATTTATAAATATTACAACATTAAATAAATGTCTTAAAACATAGAAAATGTAATTTAAAATACACAAAGAAAAAGTAATATTTTTATACAAGGAACCATGTTTAGAAATTGTTTGATTAACAAATTTTTAAAATCTTTGAGTTTTTTTTTTGCCTTCGCGAGTTCAACATGTGATCTCTCTATCTCTACAATCTTGAGATTTGGAGTCCGCCACTTTTCTTAGTATTTTTTTGTCAGGTTAACGACCTTGATACATTGACCAAATCATACAATGATCTCCTTCAATTGAAGAAAGAATTGGACTTAGTAGTGTTGCAGAATTTAGGATTTAAAAGTGATTTTTAGGAGATAATTAACTACTGCTAATAATTATCTGCTTGTGGACCTCTTCTCTGGATTATGGCGCTATTTAAGGAGATTATATCGTTATTTATTGGGATTATGTCTTATTTAATATGTTTTATTTATGTAAATTTCATAAAGACACAAGTTATTTAGTATAAAATATGTGGAATGGAACTTTTCGCACTAAAAACAACCTTTTTCAGAAAGAAAAAAACTCGTCTTTCATTGACGAGATATAAGTGTCTGAAAAAAAGAATATGAATTATTCAAAAAAACACTTTGAACAATCAATGTACAAACTATAGAAAAAAACACTTATCAAGACAAGGTCAGCTGGAGAAAGCAGCACTAGAAGTTAAAAGTATGATCTATGCTCCAAATCGGAAAATTATTCGAGTGTTTTGTGTCGCTGCTTGAGGTATGAAGCTACAGAAACATCAAATCAGTTTGTAAAGTACCTGAAAGTGAAGGGAATAGAGTATCGTGTGCAAAAGATAACTTACACTAAGCTGGCCGAAATTTGGGTTGTTTGGAAGGGTAACATGAAGATAATCAAGCAAAGGATTAAAGGACACACCATCTTATAATAAATATTTTCAAACACGTTAATTGCTTTCAACCCTTCACCGTTAGTGCCTAAGCTTGAAATCCAAGCATTCCATACACCAATACATGCAGCTCCGGATCTATTAAAAGTTAAATATTATAATTTTGTAATTTTAAGAAAATTTAAACTTTATAAAACTTTTATGAAGTTTCAAATATTATTTGAACTTTATAAGAATTATAAGAAGTGTAAACATTATAAATATTTAAATTTTATAAAACGTTTAAAGTGTTTATAATATAGAAATTCTATAAAATTTTTATAATATTAATAATATTTGAACTCTATAACAATTAAATATATATATGTGAACCATTAAAAAAAACTTTTAAATTGATTATTATATCAACCATATAAGAAAAAGTAGTTTTTTCTCCGCATATGCCATGATTTGAATTTTTTAAAACGAATAAAAATTGTTCAATCTATAAAGAAATATTGTAACGGGTCAAAAATTTAAACTTGAGTAATATATTTCTTTTAAACTAAAATTCTGATGGAGTAACCGGTCAAAATTTGAATATTAATATTCAATTTCATACATTTCTATTTTGAAAAAGTATAATTTTGTATACTACAATAAATATTTAAAATATTTTAGATATACATTTTTAAAGAATATCATAAATATTTAATAGATCAAAAAGTTAAAAATTATAAATACTCTAATTTGATTTGTTTTAAAACGATTTATTTAAAATATTTATACCAGACGACAGATTAAACATAATATATTATATGATTAAAAAAAATTATGATCCTTATAACAAACTGTGAGTTAAGATTATATGATGAGTTGGTTTAAGTAAGATTTGATACTTCTATATATTTGAAAATTACGATTGATGGATTGTGCAAATAATTTTTTTTTATTGGGATTCTAAGATAAAATATGGACTCCACCCACGAGTTGAATTTAATATTATTATATATCAAAATATGTTTTTAATATATTCTATGATGCGAATAATTGCTAAATTCCGTGATTAACTCAAACAAATCTTCATTCCAATAACCAAAGAAGTAAAAATTGAAAAAATAATTTCCTAAATTAACTCAAAATAATAGCTAACTTTCTCAATTAACTCAAAATAATCTACATTTTAGATGCATCTCATTTGTTATTTTATTTTTGATGGCAGTCATTTATGAAATTCTGATTTTTGATCTAACCAAATTATATTCAATCTCATTTTGTGTTTGTTAATATAAATAAACTCAATTTTCAAATAATATTAATTTTATTTTTAAATATAATTTTCCATTTCTATATCTTAAAAAAAATCATCCATAATTAAGTATTATATTTAAAAAATATATATATTCATTCTAATTTATATATAGGGACTGACAAAAAAAAAGGTTCACCTACTAGTTACTACTATAATATATCAAAACTTTACTCTAAAATATATAATATATAAAATTTGTACTAAATAAAGTTTAATCCATCCTATATAACACGGGTCATAAAAAATTTCATTTTTAACCCTCAAAATATCACCATATAGCACTTTAAACCCCAAAATTTTTTACTATAAACTACCAAAGATAATTTTACTAACACTTTAAACTTTCAAACTAGTTTTTCTGTTTATACCTTCAAACAACCTTTCACGTGTGAGTCATGCTTAAAACTCCCATTTACCTTTAAGCTTTGTCTTCAAGTCTTCACAAGCAGCACCATGAGCTGTGACGCTTTTAAATCCAACAAAACAGTTTAGTGATCATCCCAAAAACCATGTCTCGCATTAAAATTTAGAAAGATCGTTTAATAAAACCACAAGGTAAAAAGCAAAAGTTCAAACTTAACAAAAATATTGAGGCCTTAAATGTTTGCAGATTTTGAAGTTATTATTTTTGGTTTTAGTTTTCCAAAAATCTATTTTTATAGCCATCTTAATATATTAATTGATAAGTCACATCAGATTAAAAGTTGAGGAAACAGTACTTTCTAGTTAAACAGAAATTGCAATCTCTTTAGATCTAACCCTACACTACAAGAAATACAGCGTTTTCCTACGGCCAAAAACGTAGGAAATTGGTAGGAAACAGACGTTTCCTACCAATTTCCTACGAAAAATATTTGAAGGGAATCTCCCGTAGGAAACAGAATTTGGTAGGAAATTCGTAGGAAATTTCCTACGAAACGTATTCGTAGGAAATCGCGTAGGAAATTTCGTAGGAAATTGGTAGGACCGTCTTCACCATTTTCCTTCCAAAATTTCGTAGGAATTTTTATCCTTCAAATTTCCTACGAAATATTTCTCACTAATTACCTACCAAAATTTTCCTACCAGTTTCCTACGATACACTTCCTACCCAATTCCTACCATTATCCTTCAAAATTTCAGAAATAATTTTAATAAAATTATTTTTATTTATTTGTTACAAATTTTGGTTTTTTGAATAAATTAAATTTAAAATTCAAAAGAAACGTCATAGCTTCATACCAATTGAAGCTCATACCAATTAAAATTCATACGAAGCCATATTCATTGTACAAGGCATAAGTGTTCAAAACCATTTATTAAAACAAGGTCTTAAACAACATAAGTATTGTAATTCAGATGGACTAAACGAAGAACTCCAATCATATTGTTGTACACGACCAGAAGAGCAAATTGGAGCAATAGGAAACCATCTTCTGACAACTTGAAAGCTCCAGACTGCAAAAAAACAGAAATCAAATGGAAAACTCAAACTTGAAAGCTTTCATAATTTTTTGAGATAAATCGGTTACAAAAAGACAACATTTCTTAGTTATAGTGATGAAAGATGTGTAATTTAGTTTTAGAAGAAACAAGATCACATACCATTTGATTTAGAATTTCCCATTATTAAACTTATTCTCTTAAAAGACGAACAAGTTGAAAGCTACGAGAAAGAATTCGACGAACCTGACTGAGGCAAAGTAAGAAACGGAGAAGGGGAGAGCCTTGACTGCGTCACTTCTAGAGACTTCTAGGGTTCCATCTCTCTCTGCTTTACAACTTACCAAAAGAAAACAATTTCAAAACAAATGTGATCTCACCATATAACAATATACCAAAACTATAGCCTTTGATTCAATATACCAAAACAATATACCAAAACTAAGCTGCATTTGATTCAAAATCCAATTAATAACAATAGCCTTTGTAGTAGCAGCTTTTTTACACATATACCAAAACTAAGACAAAGTAAGCTTAAAGTTTTGCTCAATATCAAGAGGTAAGAATTCAGAACCTACACAAAAAAAGAGATTGTTTAATTAATCTCCAGAACTGAAAAAAGCAAACAAACAAGACATTTTCTTAGTTCACAAATCTTACCATGAAAGAGTAGTTTATGTTCTTATCACCACACATTGTTGTATATTAAAATCAAGTCAGCCTGAAACATATGAGAGGCCGGTTCCATGCTACAAAGTAGTCCTCGTTAATTATATATGTAGACAAGAGATGAGCAAATACAACATAAATTAGGCGAGTTAACTTTCAGAAGAAATTCTCACCGATAATTAGGCAACTAAGCATTGAAAGGACTATCAATATCATCATAGTCTTCCTAATTGTAAACCTAACTGATGGCTTAATAACAAAGGAAAAGAGAAATCAAAGATTCACCCCCAAATCCAAACCCGAGACTTATGAACCCTAAATTAAACCAAAATTTCTGATTGCGTATTAGATTAAAAAAAACGATTCAGCCACAAAATTTTCAACTAAACCATCGAAATCGAAAATCACCAGATTTTAGAAAATCGAAACAATGTGTAAGAAGCGCAAGAGAGAAAGAGACTTACCTGAAGCTAGTGACGTTGCCGCATTAATACACCTAGGCTTGTTGAGACCATTTGCCGCATTAATACACCTAGGCTTGTTGAGACCACGAAGAGTCAATGAATCTTCAATTCGAGTTTCATAGGCCAGAGAGGCATGTAGGTTCAATCGATGCTTATTAGGGTTTGGATGAGCTGGGTGGAGGGAATGAGAGGTAAAGGAGGGAGCTGAGGGAGAGGGGGGTGGGGAGAGACGGTTGAGACATAGCGGCGGTGACGGTGGAAGAGTAGATCGGAGACGGCGATGATGTAGAATGGAGAAGAGCGTTGCTCGAGAGAGAGTTGTTCAATCTTTTTTTTTCTCGTTCTATGTTCTATTTTTTTTTTCTTCTGTCTCCAAACAATCTAAAGGGAAATTATTATGATACATGGTTTGATACCGGTTATCTACTGTTTAATCGGTCTTGGTTTAATGTCATTAATTTGATGTATATATAAGCTTAAGTACACATTTTATATGCTTTAGATTATAAGTTTATAACATACATTTTATGACTGTTAATAAGATTCTGTTAAACCTCCAATCTTCTCTCGTCTTCTCCGTTTCACCGGAATTTCACCAAAGTTAATAGAAATATTAATATTACAATGGCGGTAACTGTTGCTTTTTTCCCTAAGTATTGGCGCTCATGACAAAAATTAGGCTCTAAATACTTCCAATTAGTGAAAATTTCAGCTTAACATTTTTAAAAAGCTATAGTTGACTACCCCAATCCAGCATACCGTCTTTAATAGCAGTTACAGAAATCGTGCTATCGTAATATGCTATCAATGCTCATTTTTTTTAGTGCTAATCCTACGATTTTCCTACCAATTATTTCCTCATAACTTTCTTTCACATTTCCTACGTGATTTCATACGAAGGTTTGGTCGTAGGAAATTGGAAGGAAATATACCTTCGAATTTCCTACCAATTCTTTCATATGGCTTTCATTCCACTTTCTTACGAAATTTCCTACCACATTTGCTTTCGTAGGATTTTCGTAGGAAATCTCCTACGAACTTCTTACGATTTTTGTCGTAGGAAATTTCATTCGAATTTCCTACGAAATATATATTTCGTAGGAAATGCGTAGGAATTTGGTAAGAAATGAGTCCTACCAAATATTTGGTAGGAAATTTGGTAGAAAAAGACTATGTTTTCTTGTAGTGCTAGAATCTATGTCTGATCCGCGGTCCTCCGACGAAGAAATGTTTTATCCGGAGGCACTTACGTGTGATCCACGGTTACCTGACGCTAGTATATATGGACCGAACTTCGATTCATACATGGGTACGTAAGACCTCTCTAAATATCTCTTGCTCGAAATTGTTTGTCTAATAATCTGGATTAGCTTTCATCTGATCGATCTGTCATGGTAAACTAGCCTATCTAATCGTCCATATGTCATAGTATTATTACGGTGGATCTAATTTATGATATGTATCGTAATTGTGTATTCGTTCTCTCCTTTGGCAGATGCTAAGACATGTGTCTTTTGGGACGTCGAGGATTACCCAATCCCTAATGGTTCCGATCCTGTTTTGCTGGGGCAGAAAATCAAATCAGTTCTCTTGGCTGCGAATTATCGTGGGGAAGTGTCAATCAAGGCTTACGTTGATACGTTGTCGGATGAATTGCGAAGTCAATACTTGGACGCCGGAATCACAGTCGATCTCATGCCCCAAGGTCAATATATAATAATAGTTCCCTTTACTTTTTTTTCACGTTTACGTAAACTACTTACTTTGCAGGGGATGAATACGCTAGGATTTCTCCCCTGTTTGTGGACGCTTACGTGTGGGCACTGGATAATCCTGCACCAGCAAATATGATTGTACTCTCAAAAAAGGTGGTAGAATCGGTAGAATCGGAAAGAGCTGTTGTTTTATCCGATACTGACTTGAGCTGGCTACCTCTTGACACGGATTGGCTACCTCCTCTAGCAAGGTCAACCTTGTTTTTGACGGGCCTCTTTGATGATAAGAAGCGGAAGAGAGAGGATACTCTTACCATGGCTTCTTCTGAAACAAAAATGAACAAGGTGAGAGAGAATGAAGAGGCCATATCAAATGCTGATTCTGAAGAGTAACTTTTCTAGGGTAAACATGGTTCTATTATGCATATGAAGGGTCTAGGGCGTTTGTATTTGATGGGTTGGAACGTGTTTGCTTACTCTTTTTTTGCATTTATCATAAGCCTCTTTCTTCCAACATAAAATAAAACCAAAGACTTCACCGGGTAGCATTTTCCCAATCACTTCGTGTTTTGACCATCTGGTAAGCCTTTCCATGGCTGCATTCCACTCTGAACAACAACAAGCAAGCGAATATCGGTGGACTCAATGGATTTAAGCTTTGAACAATAGTCTTGTAGCCTCCTTGCAAACTGATGACTCTACCTGTTATTACTTTATCACTAGTGACGACTTGACCAACGAAGCAGACTCGTGCACGACTTAACGAGAACACACACATGAGAAGAAGAATCCGAATGATTATTTTCACCAAACTTTCTAAGTTTTAGAATATGAGGCTTTTCTCTTCCTCACCTGAATGACACAACAAATAAATTTTTCTTCTAGTCCATAAAACTCATCCATAGAGCACAACATGAAACTTGCTTGAATCAAGAAAATCTTCTTTTTTTTCTAGACAACCTTGTAGGGCTTTACACAATTGACTTTCAAGAGCTGCACGTGATTACTCTTGAACAATCTCATCGGCAACTGACTTCCCCATGGCTTCACTAGCTAGCAATCCCGTCACTTCAGCGGTTTTATATTTCCAAGTTCCAACCGTTATACTACATCCAGAAGAATCAACCCCAAAAATAGGCGCAGTTGCGGTTTCAATCACTCTAAACATTTCACACACAAATGCAGTAAGCTCAATGGATGCATATTACATATAATCTCGTCTACGTGTCCGAAAAAACTCAAGTCTATGGATGATGGTACTACCAAGCACAAGTCAAAGGAGAAGAAATGTTTACTAGTAATGACATCAAAATAACGCCTTGGAGAAACATAGTAATTGCAAAAGAGAAACCTTCCATATAGTTCCTAATATATACTCCCTCCGTATTTGAATAAATGTCGTTCTAGCCTTTTTTCTGTGTTTTTAATTAGTTGTCATTTTAACAACTTTTGCATAAAATTTCCTAAATTACCCCCAATTAATTGATCATAATTAATCAGTCTAAATTGATTTTCATAAAATATAATTGTAAATAATCGTTTCTCATAAGGTTAGTTTTGTAATTCTGTGCCCTTTCTTAATTCACCCAAAAACAGTTGAAACGACATTTTTTCAAATACAGAGGGAGTATATATGTTAAAATTATAGCCTATTTAAAATTGATGTCACAAGAGAAATTAGTATTTAAATCGATAAGTAGTCATTTGGGTTGGGTTGTACACAGGTCTCCCATTTCCGGTAAAGCAACAAACATATATATATAATCCGCTAAGTCCTCCCTTCACACACTTTTTATTCACTATCGGTAGATACCCTCTATAGTCTTTTTGCTCTTCTACGATTCCGGTTTATTCAAGCAAAATGAGAAAACCAATCACATGAGATGAATCGTCCATGTCTCGGTTTACTTCTAAAGATTGCATTTTTTCACAATACCTTGGGCAAAAAAAGAAAGAGAACTGCGGTTTCTACATAATTCACTTAAAAGTCTAAAAGATGCATCAAGCTCAGCCAAAACTCAAATATGCTTTCTTTTATTGCAACATGATATGTAAGACACCGACCAAATTATAGTGACGAATATATGACATAGGAATTGTTTCAAAAATAGTCTTGTACACATGGTAAGATGAGACAATAAACGAATTGCAAAAGCAAAAGATTGTTTAAAACTACACTCGGATCATAAAAGCACACCAGGTAAAAAGCAGCTTCAATCTACTTTGGGCAAAGTATCAGGATTTACTACGACAACATTGTAACCTTTCTTCAACAAACAGTCACGAAATTGAGAGAACTTGGTGCCTTGTCCAAAGTTTTTGTCACTCGAGAGTACCACAACATTTCCTGTCCTGCTATTGAAACCGCTCAGTACAAACGCCCAAACAAGAATGTCTTCTAACATACAGTTAAAGATTGCATCTTTATCCCCTGTAAACAGTAGACCAACGGACATGTAGATTATACATTTGATCATGTACATAAAGAAAAGAGGGTTTTAAGTAAAAGAAATTTACCTTTGCATGTTACAGTATCGAGATAGATACAGTGACTGAGATATTTTTCGTTCAAAGCATCAAAAGATTCGAGGAAATCCGAGGACTTGGTTCTCGGGTCAAGAATGAGATAACGGTGTTCGGAGGAACTGTCAAATCCATCTTTACGAAGAGCGTCCTCGAGTTTCCTATGAACGTCACAAAAAAATGAAGTATCTGGGATGTTGAAGCAATCATCAAGAACCCATACGATATATGTCGGATTATCTGCGAGGTTTGACAAACCGGAGAGCGAATAAACAATTACAGAAAATAATCAGAGAATCATAGTTAAATTATTAGATCCATTAACTATGACAGATTGATCAGATGAACAAGATGAGCAAATCCAGGTCATAGACAAGAAGCAATTTCCAGAAAGAGATACAACATCTTACCATTTTTTGCACTCTTGCGCTCGGGGAAAATAATACCGGCCATGCTCCCGACGGAGTTATCGAGAGAGAGTGACTTTCAGAATTTAGGGTTACTCTGCATGGAACGAAACCATGAGAGCGAGAGAGAGACTTTAGAGTCTCTTATTGGGCTGGGCCTTGCAAATATCAAATACTCCCAGTTGTAAAACAAATTAAATCTAGCAACAATTGGCTAGAAAATCCATTTAAAAACATGATTTCAAAATTGTACATAAACTAAAAATATTTGCAAAGTAAGGGTCAGACTGGTTCAAACGCATCAGTTGTGAGAGTTTACGGAAACGAGTGGTTGTAGTTTCAAGCGCTATGAAACGTTTCAATCGACTGGTTTACTGGTTGAAAATGGGTGCAATTGCAAGAGATTTACGATTGGTTGATCAACGGTTTCAATAGCGGTTAAGTCAAAAAAACATATTTCTGAATAAAATATTAAAAAAAAATCAACATGATTAATAAGGAAAAACCATAAATAATTTCTCAAATAATTATTCAAATATTAAACTTGTGTCTTGTGTGCAAATGTTCAAGCCATGACTTACTTTGATAATTGTATATGTGTATGTGTCATAAGTGATGAAACTACTATAACTACATAATTAATGAAACCAATTAGGTAACACAAAATCACTATAAAAGCAAAAGGATCAATAGAAAAGAAAAAGAAACCTAACCTAGTTTAGCTAAACAGAAGTAACTAGAAAAACAACTTAGTAACCTTGTGGACTTTAGAGGCGACCATCTTGTTTGCAGTTTGAACGGCTTCCTCAACCCTTCCAGACTCAACATATGCACGAATCATTGCTTTATAAGTTTCATCATCTGGTTTCACGAATTTTTCTTTCAACAATTCATCAAACACACTCTCAGCCTCGGACAACCTCCCATTCTGACACAACCTTGTTATAAGGTTCCTGTATGCTTCCACAGGCAGCGAGCACTTATTCTTTGCCTTGGTCTTGTTGAAGATGTTGACCGCATCGCTGAACCGTTCCACCTCGAAACACTCGCTCACCATCAGATTAAGATTATCTGCATCAAAGCTAATCCAGCTGTGATTGTCAAGCATATACTGGAACAATGCCCAGGCCTCTGTTTTCTTGCCGTACTTGAGCAACACTTTCAAATACTTATTGCCCACAGTTGCATTTGTTGTGAAGCCGTTGTTGTCCATGCTCACTGAGCTCTTGTATAGAGCCATAGCTTCCTCATCCTTTCCTTGCTTAAACAAATACTCTACGAATATTGATTCCAGGACTGCGATGTACTCGCGTATGGAACAAGTCTTGAAGTCGTCCCGGAGCTCATACGCCATGTCGAGATTCCCCTGTTCCATGAAGCCACGAATAAGATTCATGTACATGCCTGGCTTTTGGAAATTGAACAAGTCAGCTCTTCCTTTCAACAAGAGATCAAGAGCTTGGTTTATCATTCCGGCATCGACCATGGCTTTGGTCAAGTGGTCGTAAGTGTTGTGGTCCGGAGAAGGAGTGTGGTCCGAGGAGAGGAGGTGGGAGTATAATCGAAGAGCATCGTCAAGGCGGCCTTGATCGCAGTGGGATTTGATGATGAAATTGCAGGAAGCTATGTTTGGCTTCATCTTGGATTTGTTGAAAAAGAAATCGAACATATCCAAGGCGTGGCCGGACCGCCCAGCGTTGCACAAGGCTCCGATGATGGCGTTGCAGGTTAAGATGGATTCTTCAGGGTCCATCCTCTTCCTCGCAGCTAAACGGGCGTGCTTGGCTGCAAGGTCGAGATCCGAGATGTCATTGATCAGGAACCTGACTCGAGAAAGCAGTGATGATGGACCACTAAAGGTGCGTTCCGGCCGTTGCTTCTGAGGATGTTCCCTCCCAATCGGATACGGTTTTGGTGAAGACTGCTTATACGGTTTTTGTGAAGACTGCATCATCTGGAGGAAGTAGCGGCGGCTGCTCGACATTGCCGGCGAGGACATTTTTAACCTATACTTTTTGTACACGCAACACAAATTAGCACACTATAAACGCAGTCGACTAGGTTTTTGACTTTATTAACCCTTTTATCAAAGTCGGTATTTGTGAGAAAATCACAATTGTTTTAGGCACATTGAGCCCATTACGTGATACTTTGACAATCATTGGCCCAGCAAATCTTATAGATGCAACTGAGGCTCTGCTTGCTTGCTGGTTGGAAACCTCAAAACTCAAAAGAGAGGGAAAAAAACATCGAGACTATTGATTGATCAAAGATTTTATGTGTTAAATATGAGGTTTGCTTTGAGATACTGTACATTTAAATATTATGATTTGAATGATACACTTGTTACATCTGAGATGTTTCTTCCTAAATGTCGTGTTTAGCCGGTGATCAAGAGTGAGATGTGAGAAAAATATGAGAATGCAAATCAAAACCCCATAGATGTAGTAACTGAGTACTTTCCATAGAACCTGGGAGATAGAAGAGTTCCATGGATCCAAAAAAGGGACAGATACATCAAAAGTTCTTAAACAATCGGAAGAAATATTTATTGGGTTAAGAATTTTACACATAAATGGATTATAAACACTTTCAAAACTCAACTTCATCATTCAAAATGTAAACACATTCAAGAGAGTGTGACAGATAATGCTTAGAGAAACCGTTGAAAAAAAACCTGGAAACACTTGACACAACTCATTGGACTAACTGAGAAACTGCAGCATAAAGCTAATTTGGTTACATCATTTTCTCTTATGGTCAAGCTACAGAAACAGAGCCTTGAATAATAAAAGAGGAAATGATGAAATTGAAATCATAACAATGAACCTTTAAAAATGAAATCATCACTGAACAAAGTATTAAGGAAGCAATTAAATCCATCCTTAAAAGCCCCAAGTTTCATATCTGTATACAAAGATCTGATCATACGATCAAATAGTCTTCAATTTTCAAACCAAGCCAAATCAATAAGCCCTAATCAACAGCTATACCATAAGTCCATAACCAATTCGAAAAAATAATCCCGGGTTTAATTTCTGAAAGAAACAAATAAAAGAAACGATTGAGATTGGTAAACCCTATCAATTGACATCGTCCTTGTTGTTGGGTTTGCGATAATTCTCCTCGATGTGCTTGGCGATGACGAGACCAGTGTTGGTTAGCTTCTTAATATTTGGAACGTTGTAATTCTGCGCAACATATACGCCATAAGCCGTTCCCATCGTGAACAAGAAGCACGTCTTCCCTATGCCCATCTTCTTCCTCTTCTTCTTCTTCCTCTTCTTCTTCTTCCTCTTACTCTTTCGCCGAAGTTTCAGAGTTTCAGGTAATAAAATTCGACCGATTCATTGGGTTTGCTTTATGCAGAACTCTGCTTTTGTATTTGGGCTGCTACATGTAATTCTAATGGGCCTCAAGTATAATATTTTTTGCATTACTCATTCAATGCAAAAAGAGGCCTTGGATTTTATCCTAATCATAGAAAAATGCTTAAATTGAAAGGTTTAAGTTTAACAGAAAAGAAAAAATTTTGAATCTGATATTATAGTCTAAGAGGCGACTATAAATACCAATAGTAAAACCTCTATAAATCAATAAAAAATTCTGGTCTATAGTTAGACTTAAATAATTAACACAACTCGATAAAATAATAGATTTTTAAGAAGTTTATGAAAATTAATGATTTCGATAATATTGTGAGATAAAACTAAAAGAATTTATATAATTATAGGACCAAACTAGATTATGTAATGACATGAAAAATTTTGTTTAAACTAATTACACATGTAGCTATGTATTTCGCCAGAATTAAAAGATAATATATATTATAACCTTTGTTGACAAAAAAAATAAAATCATAACCTTTATCATTTAATATTGTATTTTTTTTAATTGGGAACGAGGTTGCTCTCTTCGACGTACACATCCTGGAGTCAAGATTAAAATTATTTTGGATTTATAGTTTAGTTTCTAGAGTTTAAGGTTTTAATTTTAAATTATTTTATTAATTTTTGAAAATATATTTTGTTTTATTAGTTCTGAATTTCCATCCGTTTATTTGCAAGGCCCATAATTACTGCACTGGATCCTTTACAATCTTGCTAGAAGAGGCTAAGCCTTATAAGAGACACTCCTAATTTCCAATTGTTACCCTTCCGTTCTCTTCACCTAACACACAGTTTCTAGGGGTAAAAGTGTCATATCGTATGAAGAAACGTGATCCCAGCATATCCGGTTCTTCTTTATCCTTTGTTGGAGGCAATATTTATGTACACAGTTACCTCGTACACCTTCCAGTAAAATGGACGGTTGAGATTCCCATTTCAGTAAGTAGCTAATATCTACCGTCAGATTCTCGCGTAACAGATTAAGTATACAACGTCAGCTGAAGTGTTTAGATGTTACCATGCACCATCTGTAGATAATCATTTACCTTATCACATAATTTTTAAATGCTTTGCAGAATTTTTGTAGGTTGCTTATTTGCTTTTTCTTTCATATTTTTTCGTTAATTGTTTGTTGTTGTTATCTTCAACGATAGCGTTGTGCTCTGGAGAAGTGTTTGATCGCAGAAAAGCTTCGTTCTTTGTCATCTAAAGGTTTGATCATTGAGTTCTTACCCTCTTTTTGGTCTTATTGCGTTCTCGTACTTCGTTTAGATTACTTAAAGGTTGGGTTTTTAAGTTGATCAATCGATTTAGGTTCGTCTATGTATGGCTTTAGGGGAGTTTCTATGTCTAAGACAAAAGGGTTTTGTAGATTTCGTGAACTTTCTTGAGATTTTAGTCTTGGAAGAACATGATCGACTGATAGATAGATGAAATCTTGTGTTTAGTACTACCTAGGTTTTGATACGTTTGTGGGAATTTGATAATCTGAGTTCCAGATTTTATTTTTGGGATTTGATGATTCGATTTGAGTGTTGAATTTGTTTTGATGGTTGTCTGATTAGCGTCACCTATTTCTTATGTATGTGTAGGCGTGGAAGGAATGGCAAAAAGCTCGTTCAAGCAAGAGCATGACCTAGGTTTGGATCCCAACTTTGTTCTTGCTTTAATGTTTGGTCCTCAAAGTCAAAACCTTGCTTTGATCTAATGATCCTGTTTTCTAAATATTCAGAGAAGAGAAGGGCAGAGGCTGCTCGGATTAGAGAGAAGTATCCAGATAGGATTCCGGTGAGAGCTCCAGTGTCTCTCTTATACATTGATCTTTAACACATGTCTTGAGTTATATGTGATTATCATATCGTTTTCTTTTCCATGTTTGGACCAATCTTTTGTGTTTCACTGAGTTTATGCAGCTTAAGTTGTTGTGTTTTATGGCCCAGAAATATGGTAGTTTATCCTTTTTGTGGCTCTTTCCTTTGACAATTGTTTATCTCTCTCTGGGTGATAATGAGCTTATTGGGATAGCATCTGGAAAATGGACACCCAACTAAAAGATGATTATCAAGTTATTATTGTCTGATTAGCTAGCTACATGCTTGTGATATATGTTTGCCACTGTATCAACTACATGGAGTTGTTTGAATTGTAGTGTCTATAACAACATTATGACTTTGAATTTGATTGTTCTTTTTCGGAATGTGACTTTCTGAATATTGATTCTTATTAAGTGCTTGCTTGGTCATACTTACGGCTTAGATAAGTAGATTTGCATGATTCATGTGGCTAAGTGCTTGAGTGATGATTGCCATGCATTTATATTTTTGTGGGATCCAGGTGATTGTTGAGAAGGCTGAGAAGAGTGATATACCAACCATCGACAAGAAAAAGTGAGCATATTAATGGGATCAGTATCCTTTTCATTTGGACCCGACTTGTGAATTGTGATTGATGACTAAGCTTTTTTCAAATTTGCAGGTACCTAGTCCCGGCTGATCTGACTGTGGGGCAATTTGTGTATGTTATTCGCAAAAGAATCAAATTAAGTGCAGAAAAAGCTATCTTCATATTTGTGGACAACGTTCTTCCCCCAACAGGTAAACAGATAGATCACCTGTGTATTCAAGAGTTTCATCTCTTAACACAAGTAACAAGAGCATAAAAAGGCGTCTACTTTCATGTTCCGGGTGATTACACATACAGTTTATATTTGGCTGATCTGGTGTGGTAACATTGCAGGTGCGCTCATGTCTTCCGTGTACGAAGAGAAAAAGGATGATGATGGGTTCCTCTATGTCACTTACAGCGGAGAAAACACATTTGGATTTGGATCTCCATAATACATCTCTTGCTGGATATTTCATTTTACTCCTCTCTATTTCACCAAATATTTCATCTTCTTATTAATTATTAAGCAAGCCACCTATGTACTTCTTCTCTAAGGACCTTTGGTTGGGCGTTGATATGTACAGAAAACATAAAATAATGTATATAATCTTCTTTCAAGGATCTAAAAACCTACTTTATGTGAATCCATCTATCACATCTCCCTCTTGACTTTGTTGTGTTTTATTGATGTCTCCAATCTATAAGCCGACATAACACGTCGCTTAAGGCACATGGGCCATGACAGTTACAAATTGCAAGGCCTATAAGTGTAGAGTAGTTATATGATCAAACTCAATAGAAGTGCAAGCACAAGGGGACTGTGCCACGTGGCAGACACGGTCGGTACCGGTTGAGAGTTGGCCGGCGATGATGTAAGAAAGGTCCCACATTGTCGTTGAAGGAGAGAAGAAGGAGACGGTCGGACCATGCTGGCTTGTTCTCATTTTACACTTGTCAATATTGATTTTGTTTTGTTTCATCATATTTATTTTGTTCACAGTTTAAGCTCGATTTATGATCCTCAAAGATTCTCATTCAAAGTACCAACCGGTCACGTGGAACTTGAGAGACTATCGAAGTGAAAGTTGAATGTAAAAGCTTGAGTGTTTTGTCCAAAGACATCAATGTCAAATAGTGTAATGATAAGAAGGTGATCGATTAGGACTTAAGAGAGTAAACACGTCGATCATACAATAATGGCGAGGGTGAAAAAAGGGGAAGAACCGGAGAATAAGGTGAGCAAATGGAAGAAAGGAAAATGAGAATGCAGGAGATGATGACCCCACGAAGACTCTCAAGTAGACAAAAGGTTTGGCCGATCAAGACACCCAATATACATACGATAGATATGTATTGTCTATAAATGCAAAAATGAATGGAATATATATTTGAATAATAGACAAGAGAGAAGATTAAAAAGAAAATAAAAGAGAAGAGGAACAAGAGCATGTTATGATAATGAAGGACCCCTCCCCCCACCTGCATTCAATGCTTGTCTTACTCTCTTTACTCTCTTCTGCCTACAAATACTCTCCTTCCCTCTTTCTCTTCTCTTACACCAATTAACAACATTTCAAACTTTTTTTGTCTTGCTCTAGTCTCATACTCTCATCTCCCTGTATACAGACACAGTTTATATTACAAGTATCTTAAGAACAAGAAGAAGAAGAAAAGAAGTCATGTCTTGCTCTGTGAGGAGTGGACTCCTGATGGTGTTCTGTTTCATTCTTCTGCTTTTGTCTTCCAATGTTGGATGTGCCGCTGCTCGTCGTTTAGGGTCTCATAAGCATCATCACAAGGTTGCTTCTTTGGACGTTGTCAATGGTGGAGAAAGGAGGCGAGCGTTGGGTGGAGTCGAGACAGGGGAAGAAGTAGTGGTCATGGATTATCCTCAGCCTCATCGTAAGCCACCCATCCACAACGAGAAGTCTTAATTACCCGATCCATATATGCTCCTCTCTAAATATATCATACTGTTATATGCATATGCATTCACCATGTTGGTGGTTGTAATGACTCTTGTGCTATCTATATATATTCATGACCAACTTCTTTGTTCTCTATTTCTCCTCGTATGCAACAAACAAGGTGCATACTATTAATTACTCTATTTCTTATGGATGTGGTGTGGCATAAACGATCTTTTCAACATTTGAGATTGTATCAGAATTGTGAAAATCCTTCATTAAGCTTTTGAATGAACGGTACAAGAGATCTTAAATACAGCAACTAAACCGAGTTGAAGCTAAACCAACAACAATTACCAATCTAGCATAACCAGGATATGTAGACTCTAATAGATCTCTTTACCGCCATTTTAGCTCCAAGTAGCACGTAACAAAGGTATCAATTACAAAGAATACCAATGTGTGTGAGAGGTACAAACCCTCACTAAAGCTAAAATCTTAAGCTAAGCCTAACATTTGATAACAGGGAGAGAAAAAATAGTGTTATAAATATTCCTGATTTCAGCTGCAAGGAACGATGAATGGTTTCACAAATTCAAGGAATTCAGATGTTCTGACACCGAGCTTCAGATCGATTTCTCCACCACCCAACCAGAAGAAGTCTGGTTTAAGTTTGGTTATGGCCTCATCCAATATCACCTGACATTTCCCCCCATCCAACTCGTCAGTATATTTCAATTTCAAAGCAAGATTAGTCTGAATATGCCATGGAAACTCTAAACATGAATGATTACAATACAAGCATTTTACTAAAACAAACTTCCAACTCTATTGAATATTTCCAATAACAAGTCAATCTGCACACATCCAATTGGGATCAAGGAATTCATTATGAGAGCATAAACAACATAATTAATTACCCTTAAGGGGAAGCATATTTACTTAATACTGCGCTTTAAAGATGATTTTGAAAGACTCATGTGTCACAGTAGCACAAATAGTGTGTTGTCTGAAGTGGGCCACTTCCGGATAAGGAAAGGAAGATAAACACATCAATGCAGTAGGGTACGTGCCTAAGATCATATATACACAGACCAAAAATAAGGCCATTTAAGTCTCTCTGCCTGACACCAATTACTAACTCTGGCACTGGTAGTGCAAAGAAGGTATTGAACTGTAAAAAGCGGAGGTTCTAACTTTTACTGTCAATGGGGAAAGTAAGAAAGACAATGAGTGGGACAATCAGCAGCTGGCTCACAAGAAAACTCTAACTTCTGCTCTGTATCAATGCAAATTGTGTTATAATGCACCACACCCTCCTGTACAGACTAAGAGAAACAAACTAGACAAAACCTAGCTGTGTAACTCATTAGGCACTGGAGCCTTCCGGGCCTCCAGGACAGGACAATAAACTATAGTGTCTGCAAAACGCTTGGCAAGAACATGTGTATGAAAGGGAAAAACTCTCTGTAAATATTTCTAAACACAAAATACAGCACGAAACTGTTTGTCTAGGAGAAGAAAACACAAGTGGGTAGAGGTTCCTCTCATACTACTCCTATGTCTAATATGTAATTAATAGTGTAGAGCAGCAATGAGCAAGCACCAAGAGATGATACCCAGAACATGACAATAATGCATGATGTAGTATATTTTGGTCAGCTTCAATCAAACAAAGATGTTTTAATTCTATCACGGAAATAACGGTGTGGAAACAAAACTTACCGGTATGTTTGTCTTCATACCAATACAGGTTACGGCATTGTGCTCAAACCCTGTCAATTTAATCGAAGTCTCCTCAGGAGCAAGTCTCACTACACAGAGATTAGCACAAGCCTCAGAATAAAGAAGCAACATATAAACTTCAATATGTTAATAGATCATAGAAATAAGAAGCACTAACGATTAAATCTCTTCTTTGGGATCTTGCCCTCGTTTAGTGAATAAAGAAACTGCTTTACTGCTTCAGCATTGAATCTAGCAGTATACTACCATAAGAAAAATAGTCAGATGAATACGATTAAAGACGAAGTAAAGGTGAAAATGCTATTCTGCAGGAGAACCATCAAGAGCACCTGAACCACAACCACATAGTATTTTGAGTTGTTGCGATCACTGCAATCCAAAATATTTGATGAAGCTTGAGTATTAACCTGTAATATGGTCAACATTTAGTGAGGAAACAAATACTAGCAGAGAGAATACTAACATAAAACTCTTCAATGTGTAGTTTCACATGCCAACTACAACTCAAGTAAGACTAAGATTTCAATATTGTTCCATGACCTCTAATTCATACGAAAATTCTACGCTTAATGCAATTGAAGTACCAGAACAATGCTCTTGCAGAGATGGTCGACTGAGGAAGCGCCGAGAACGTTGCGGCGGGATTCGAGAGGCCAGTCATAGTAATCGGGAGCAACTCTCTTGAAGCAGAAATCGTTAACGCCGCCGGACCGGAGAATGGTGGAGAGGCGAGCCACAGTTTCGTTTTCATCAACTGGTAGAGAAGACGACGGAGCCGCCGAGGAATTCTGTGGGAGAAAAGTGCTCTCGATAACGGAGATTCTATGGAGGATTTCAATTTGGAGTCTCTCGAGCTCCGCCGCTGCAGCCTCCACTGCTTCTCCGTCTTCCATTTCGAATTTCCGATCGCCGCCGCAGCAAGTTTTGTTTCGTTTCGTACGTTCGATTCTGTAATCATCTGTGATCGTGTCTACGGTAAACAAAAAAGGAGCTGGTTGATCTGACCCGTTGATTTATTATCCTACGTCGTTTGATCAGTAAAAACTCCGAGCCAGAACTAGGCTTTAAAAATACGCGACGTCGTAGAAAGTCATTACTTATTTGCTGATGAGAATCCGCGTTGGCCCAAATAAACAAATTTGGCCCATTTAGTGCTATGCCACAAACTATGGTTGTTGGATGAGTAATCTGGTTTATGGTTTGATTTCAATTCGTCCATTTGTTTTTTTAGAAACTGAAAAACTATATATATGAAAGTATTTGGGTTTGTTGGAACTAAAACTATATGAAACTATTTGTAACTTGATTATATTTCAATTTTGTATTAGCTTAAAATGAACTTTAAATTAAAAATAAGTAATGATTTAATATTATAATGATGATATATATTTTAAAAGTGTTAAACCATGTGGGGTTCTTTCGAAAATGTGTGTGATTTATGGAAATAAAATCTACATCAAATATTGATCATATGTTAAAAAGAAGAAGAAACAAATACGAACATGAATGTGCTTCATATATAACACCATGAATATGATTCACATCTAGCGTTTGTGCAAATTTTATACAATAGCAATATGTTTATAAAATAGTTGCACATGTTTATAATCAGATTCACAAGTAAAGAAAAATAATATACATGTACGTGTTTATATATAGTTGCACATGTTTATAAATAGATTCACAAAAATATTTTTTCTACATTTTTCATCTCTTCTCAATTTCGATTCTCTCTCAATTTTCTTATGCGGTCTTAATTCTTTTTTTTCTGTTGAATTCTAAACATGGAAAAGAGAAAAAATTCATTATTAGCAGATTTATAACAGTCGTAGAAGAATTGTGTTATCTCCACTATACAAACTCATGATCAATACAATTCCAGCATTTTGCAAATAACTTTGTCGATCATAGTCTTGTTTTCAACCAAACCCCCAGTAGACTCATAATCTTTACTTTACACCAACTCAATCTTCTTATCAAGAAGACGTACGGAATATTCTTCAGAATTCTTCAAGCATAAAAGAATTAGAAGTCACAAAACAAACAAATATATATATATATATATATATAATATTATATATATATATATATATGCATTTAGTGTTAAGGATATATTTTTATAAAAATTTATTTATCTACAGATTTTCCTTTATAATTATTTTTTCGATTTGGTTTGGATACACATAAACGATTTCAATTTAGTTTCATTTCATTTTCTGGGAATTTTTAAACTAATGAAAGTAAATAGGTTATACAATAAGAAATCTATAAACAATAATATCTAGATTACCAACGATGAGTTGACCTAGTGGTTAAGCCACTTGGTTACCGATGGGAGGGGTCTGCTCTCCAAAGGAGAGTTATATTACATGGTTTGGGTCTCGCCCTGGGGGGATGTACGGGCCTACAGGCTCGGAACCTCCTAGTCATCAAAAATATATATATATATATATATATATATATATCTAGATTACAATATTTTATTAAATTTTAAAAGTATCAATTTATAAAAATAATAATTTTTTTTTTGTCAACAATAATAATTTATTTGAAAAATTAGTTTATAACTAGAAAAATATACTAATTTATCGAATATTAATTTATATAAAATTGACTAATATTAAATTAGTATAATATCTGGATTTTTTTCCACTATAATTTTTGATCTGGAATTTAACAAGCCAATAAAAACCAGGGGCCATAAAAACCAGGTTTTGAACATAGTTGGTGACTGAAAAGCGACGTGGTAATTATTATATCAATATACTAGTTGCCGACGCGAGTTTACGTTGCCCCAAATCAACTTATTCGGGCCCATTTAGTGATCTGCCAGTAATAAAAAACTCCACTACGAGTACACGTGACGGGACAGCCCCTCGTTGACTCTTTAACATGTTTAATATCTTACGCCACATGGACATATCCAGTTGTCAAATCTGACGGTGTAAAAAGACAATTCACTCGTCACCGCGTAACACGATTGAGATCTCCGTAAATTTCTGGAACTATATGCCCACATTCCAAAGCAAAACCAAATCTACAAGTCTTGTCTATATAAACACCAAACCATTAAAGACCCAACAATTAAAAAGGTTAAGGAAAAACAAAAATGATGATGAAGTCGTTGATCTGTCTCTCTCTCATCCTCCTCCCACTTGTCTCCGTCGTGGAAGGTCTCGGTGGTGGTGGTCTCGGTAGCCGGAAGCCGATCAAGAATGTATCCGATCCGGACGTGGTTGCGATCGCCAAGTATGCCATCGATGAGCATAACAAACAATCGAAGGAGCATTTGGTTTTCGTGAAGGTTGTCGAGGGAACTACGCAAGTGGTCTCCGGTACAAAGTACGATCTGAAAATTGCGGCGAAGGATGGTGGTGGTAAGATCAAGAACTATGAGGCTGTTGTTGTTGAAAAGCTTTGGCTTCATTCTAAGACCCTTGAGTCTTTCAAGGCGGCATAGATCTTTGGATTTTTGTAGATCGATCTCTCTCTGACTCTCTCGGGTATCCGTATATCTATCTAGCTTTTGATGATTTGAGATTTTGAGACATTTATGTTGTTGTTGGTAATATTTGTGGAATAAGAAAATAAATTAGAGATATGTTTTTTTGAGATCTGTTACTTTGATCTCTGCATTTTGGTTGGATCTACCGACAAGATAAGATACAGTTGAAGACGCAGACGACACGTGCGTCGCCGTGAGTTTTGACATGATCTCGTTTTTTTCTGTCGTGACTCGGTAATGTAGACATTAGATGATGATGTGCATATTTGTGAGTAATAATAACTGGAAAAACTTCCACGTTCTAAACGTAGCCTGTAGATCACATACTTTGTTTAAGGGTTTCGGTCATCAAAACAAAAAAAAATTGGATACCTTGTTCATGGGAGATTCGCATTGCATGTAAAAAGAAAAAATTCTATAGATAGGGAATGATATACTTAATGTTTAACATGGAAGTATGTCATGATCCCGTATGACATGGAATTATATCATGATTTTCTACCTTTTTTTTAAATGTTCTCTGCTCATTCATTATTGGCTGTGAAGAACTATATCGCCAAATCATCTTTTTTTTTTTTTTCCTAAATCGCCAAATAATCTGAAGCACCATTTTAAAAGGTAGGCTAAAGAATCACTTGGTAATATTCTTGAAGAATTGTCAGATGTAAAATCGAGAAGTCTTAAAGATTTTGTCTTTGGTCACCGCTGCTCTTAAGATTTCAAGAAAGCCCGTCACACAATGTTAACCCTGTTAAAATTGAAATTGCTACCCACATCGACATGTTATTATTGCGTTGTTGGTAAGACGAGAATATTAGAATCTTGTTCACATTCTATAATGCGTAGTAATGTAGAAGCAAAGATATTAGGGTCGTATAGATTTAAGAGTTGTTAATAGATGTAAGAGTTGTTCTTGTTGGAAGCCCACTGGACCAAATAAGGCTTTATATTGAAAGAGCATTATTCCCCACCAAATGAGGTTTCTTTCTTGGACGCGATTTTTTGTTTTGGGGGAGAAAATCCAAATTATATATATTTTTAGTTTTGTATTGAACTTTTAAATGTAAAATTAAGAAAACCGTTCATAAAATTTGCAGAAAAAGACGAATATGTAGTTTCAATATAGAAAAAATCTGCTTAAGACTCTATTTTTGTTTTTTTGTTAAAAACTTGAAATGTTAAAGTTTACCCAAAAAAAAAAACTTGAAATGTTAAATTTGACTAGTAAACAAAAAAGAAGTGATGACTTGTCTTCACATCTAAAGCTTACTTTGTCCTTTTCAAAAACAAGAAGTTAAAATCAAAAATAGATTGGAGTTTATTTGAAGTGAAAGGGTGATGATATATGGAAAAAAAGAATAGTGTATGGACCCTTTCATTATTGCAATATTTAATTTGCATTCACTTTATTTGGTCAATCTTTCGTTGCCCTCCCATTTCCACTTTCCTTTCCTTTTTTTCAATTATACTTTAAAGTTCTTTTTAATTTTTCTAAACCCTCTTAACGTATTTTATTTCATAATATTCTGCATATGTTTTATGTGAGACACACGTGTGAATTTCTACTTCACTCGTAGATAAGTGAAAAAACGAAAAAGTAAATATGATTACATTTGAAATCGAAAACACTTTTGTACATGTCTCGCATTCAAATTAATCATGAATATTCCTTAATCCTTACACCGGCACAATCTTTTTTGGGCTGTCCGAACGAAGACACGCATGTAGTTTTAATCAAACTTTGTAATTATTATGCATTCAAAATGAGATTGGATCCACTACTTGCTCCATTTCAATACTTTTTTTTGGCGGCATGTTTACTCATTAGTCATTAGTGTTTGAGTGGCGATGATGACCTTTGTGTGGCACCATATTGGGTTGTATTAATGTTGAATTTTACAACCAATATTGGGATTAGTAATTTGAACAATAACAAGATACTATATATTAAAATCTAATTCAACGAAATGGTCAAAAACATTATTTACACGTGTGGGTAATAAGGTGATGACCACAAAGAGTTGACTAATTAACAATTAAACTTTTATTAACCATTTTTTTATGTTAAGCATGACATCTAGAAATGTACTCCCATTCTTTTTAATAAGTTGAGATGTCCTTTTATTTCTTCTTCGTCACCATTACGTACAAACCTAAACATTTATCCAAAACTATATAAAACATACTTGTTCTATGTATAATTGAACATTAAGACATGTTAGGATCACTTCTTATCGTAACCGATATTTGGAATGGTGATGGCCCGCCAAATGTTCTTCTCATTGACCACCGAAAATTTCATTATATCTTATTTATAACCATTTATTGACTGATGCTAATATGTACCATAAAGATTTTATTAAGATATATATATATATACCGTAAAGATTTTTTACACCCTAAATTTTCTTATCAAAGTTGAATCATTGATATGATAACCAGACATAGAATGAATCGAGATCCCTTTTCAAGATAAATAATCCTCTTATTTAGCAAAATCATTAACGGGAAGGTTCACAGGCATAGCCAAGCATCTAAAAAATATTAAATAAACAACTTTAAAAAAAGTCCTCTTATGATAACAGTATTGTGGACTTGATAAAGCAGTATTGTGGACTTGCTTTTGTGAAATCCAAGCTTTGTTTGGTCCGGAGAAAGTGAGCAACACGGTTCGAACAAAGTGAGTAACGCGTACCTGTTGTTATTTTAGGACCATTAGCTTTAATGCTTTATGATAGTATTTTTACTACTTAGTACTTACTAGATAATTAATTAAACTAGATTAATGCCAAAAGTGCATTCCTTCCTAAATGTCATTTAAATTAATTTTCCAAAACTTCCACAATTGTATTTTTTTTAAACCACCAATTTTTTTTTTTAAATAAGGCTTGTGAATATGTAAACTCTCAAAGGAAATTTTCAGGCTTGCTGCCATAGGTCTTTTGTATTAAGATGCAAAAATTTCTATTTTTAACAAGCGACTAATATGTTGAAGCTTCTTTGAATGTTGGTAACGAAGAATTTTTTTATATACATACGAGTTATTCACAACGGTATATATCCATCTAGAATTTGAATAAACTGGTATAGGAATCTGAATACTTCCTCATTTCACATAGTAATATAGTTCGAAATATTTCACAAGCATCAGTTATCTTCCACCGGCTTTTTGACATCTTCTCATTTCCGGCTAGTCACATGGGTTTACTTGTGAATAGAGTGTTGAATTTTTTTCAAAAGATGTTTCATGCTTTTGTGATATTCTTTAATACACAGTACACACCAAAAGTCGACTCAAACACACGAACGCTTGCTCATTATTCCGAATTCTAGTAAAGGAAGAATATTTGTACCAAAGGGTTGTGCAAACATAAACAATATTTCTTCATAAAAATGATTTATATATATAAAACAGTCATCGCCATTCATGCATTTAATTTTGCTAGAATATCTCAATGTATAAATATCTATATAGCGAAATATGTAAAAAAAAAAAAAAAAGCAAATTCCTGATTATGACACAGTACCAAATTATTAAACCAGATATCTCGATCAACAATTTGCCTCTCTTTTTTTTCTGCTTGTCAACTTGAACATTTTACTTAGATAGCAGTAATAATTTATTAATATATATATAGCATATATTATGGATTATTGTCATATAATATTAGTGAACATAACATGTACGCGTAGACATACCATCGGAAAACCTTTAAGGTCTTTCTTTGACGAACCAGTTTGCAATTTACCAGTAAGTTTGTGTACAGAATCTACGAGTAAGTCAAACGCCAATTTACCCCAAGGATACGTGTGCATTTTATTTTTCCCTCTCTCCAACATCTCTGCCGTAAAGTACATACTTGGCTTGTTAAGGGCATACTTCAACAAGAATATTGACTCGAGAAGAAGCAACATAGCAAGCCTAAGTTTGCTTTCCTCATCATCATTTCCCAAAGCACGTAACTGAGCTATTATGTACAGATTAATGTACATACATACACCCAACTTTGCAGAAAATGACATTTAGTGATGGAAACATTCATCAAATTAAAAATTTAAAACTGCTGAAAACGACAAAATTGGTCTACTTATAGATTAATTAATACACACTTGAGAATATTAATGAATGGGTTAAGATTACGTAGTCTTTATACAATAGTATTTGCCTATTTTGGTCGCCGTAATATGGATATACCTACTCTTCTTCTACTGCTGTCTAAACGATTGTTAGAGTGAGGACAAACACAATCTTTACAATCATATTTATTTAATCGTATTATTAATCATTTTAGGTTCTAGTTGGGGTGTTGAACAACTCACCATGCTGTATAATTAGACATCACATTTTTCTTTAAAAATGATCACATTGAGATTGTTTGCCTTCGAAGCAATTCAGAGTAATTTTCTATAACACTAAAATTGGGATTATATATAAACCTTTGACAGACAAAATTTAACATGATTTAATTGTTAGTACGTCGCTTTGGCGGTTGATTTATTCATGTTTAATTAATCGTACGTACGTGCACCAGCTTATTCTTGTTTTTGACTACAAAATCACATATTACTCATTGCATCAAGTTGATGTCTTACTCAATTAATCTAAGAATATATACTAACGGATTGGTAAAGAAAAGCAAATTAACTCATTTTTGGATACGTAACTATTTTCTGAGCTATTTATTTGCTAAAAAATATAATATGCTGTGTTTTTTTAGAAAAATAAAATAGAACAATTTCGAATGAAGATTAAGGAAAAATGTAGTAACAGATGAGAATTTAACTCGAAAAACCAAAATCATATATATTACTTTCTTAATGAGAAAAGGGTCGTGTTTATAAAGTATTCTTGTTCAATACTAGTCCGTAAGATATTGAAATCTCTAAAAAGAATAACGAGTGATTATGTAGCATCCTAGTGATCATATAAGAAAAAATGTTTTTACATCTTTATGTCATTTTCTTAAATGAGAGAAGGATCGTGTTAATTGAAGTCATTTATCCACAAATTTTATAAACCACTAATAAGTAATAACCTCACAATTCTACGTTTTGTTGGTACGCTATAAACCCAAACCGACCTAAATCAATCAAAGATCAC